CATCTTAACAACGCTATGCCGAATCTCACTATTTTGTCACTCCTCTTTCCTTTCTTCTCATACTTTATATTTCTTTTGACTGCATTTACTTACCTTCATCCTTCACCTCACTACCTTTTTACTTGATGTGCTGATATGAGGTGTGGCAACTCGGACCGTTACGCAGTAATGCCTGGTCCTATGTTGATAATGATGATGATGATGATATAAAGTGTCAGAAACTTAGTCGGAACATAAGTGATTGAGAGCAACGGGTAGTGAACTGAACGTCATACATTGTTAGTCGGTTGACACTTTTACTCACTTCACGTAAGGATGCAATGGATAGCGCCAGATTGCTTAATCACTTTAGGTGATGACATCTACAAGATTCAAAGCCTCCTGAACAACTTGAGTGCCAAATAAAAATATTTCGCATGAGTTATTCTCCAGCCAAACTCAAATTGTTGTTCGCCTTAGAAACCCATTTAAGAACAGGGAGTGAAGCGGTTAAGTAGGCGGACTTCTTCGTCTACTTGGGTCAAATGTTGAGCTTCAATAATCAACAGGACCTGCGCATAAACACAAAAGGCTCGACTGACTTGTTAAATTTCAGTCATGACAACAGGAAGATACTCAATTAGCCACTAAGGATTGAACGTACTGCGCGATAGTTCACTATGTTCTACTGTATGGCTATGAAATATGGCCGTTGTAGGTGGGTCACATCAGAACGCTTCAGCTGTACCACCAATGACGTCTTGTTAGGATTGGTTATAAGTGGTGGAAACTTCACATCATTAAACAGGATAATAGACATAAGTCCGTCATTGAAGTGATGAGCATTCATCAACTCAGTTGACTGGGATATTTTTCACGCTTGCCTAGTTGCCCTCTACCCCTACACGCAATGTTAGCTGAAGCAGGTTCAGGTTACAAACATTTGGAGGGACTTAGAATGAAATGTGTCATCAGTCCATAAATTGTCTAGGTGTTGGTCCGATTTCGTGTAGAGAAATGAAAACTCCTAAATTTGAGTCCAAACGAAAACCAAAGTCAGCAATATTAAAGTGTTGGTTATATTACTCAGAACTGATCTCACTAGTGCAAAATGCATCCACACATTATCTTCATCCTAACTGTTATACCGCATTTCGTCACTTGTTTAACATTATCCTCTTTTCTCATTACTTTCGCCAACTTGATAGCAGTATTTTTGTTGCTTTCTGTTTGTTGCCCACTATCATGACGACAGTTTGTAGTAATATTAGGGGTCTTGTTAATACTGGTTGACATACACAGTGCGATATACTTCCACCATTTTATCTTGACACCGAAGAATCATGAAAAATAATTTTTCCATTTGTTTCAATAAGATTTATTTGCGTCTGTTTAACTGAACAAACGGGAAGTGTGACTATGTTGTATCATACCATATGATGTACTGACTATTATCTATTTAATTATGAAAGAATCCGTTGTATATTTCGCTTCAGAGAAATAGATTGATTATTCCGTTGAGTTTATTTATCGAGATTGTTTAACAGATTGGATAAAAGCTTCATTTTATGCAAATAAAACATCACCACCTATCTCAGTTCTATATGTGTACAGCAGCAAACATAAAGTGGAAGCAGTTTCAGGATAGTGAAAACACTATCAAGTCATAAACTGTTGAATTAAGCCATATAGAGGAAAACTGATGGTTGAGAATAAGGCAATAGGCGATGTCGTTAACAATCTGTCTCACTACAGATCCATCCATTCTTCATTTTCCTTTAAATCTTCAAAACCTTTCTAACCCTGTCTCTAAATCCCTCATCACCCTCAGCATTTTATATTGTAGTTATTCAAAAACTCATATTTTCATTTCATTCATCTCTTTGTTTCTCTCTTCCTTGGTTTCAAATCCATCTTCTCATGTAAAGTACAGTCAACTGGAGGAAGACGTATTTGTGCCAATTCCAATGTTTCTAACCGCTAGGCCTGTTTAATTCTTCAAAACGTTGCTTATGAATTTCAGTTACTAACAAGCGAAACAATCAATGATACACTGTTGTTTCACTGGATCGAATTGTTTTACCTCTATTGACATATGAGCTCCTATTCGCATGCCTCGATATTGCATGAATATTAATTATGGTAATATACACCTGTCCTGAATTCCTCTGCTAGCCACAATCAACCAAATTACCATAATTAATAATCAGGCAATAACGAGGTAACCGCATAAGAGCCTATATACCATTAGAGGTCCAATAATTCCATCCAGTAAAACAACGGAGTATTACAAGTATATCAGTAAATAGTAATAAGTAATACCCGTTGTACAACAGATGGCTATCTTGCCTCAGTGGCCTAGTGGATAATGCTTTGAAGTTTCGATTAATGGGTACGAGGTACAGTAGAAACAATATCACTCACTGGGGTGCAGGTACATCCAGCTGACAAGTCCTAAATAGGGCGAACCGCGCGTACTAGATTCCTCTGATAGCCACAACCAAGTAAATCAGTGATGCAGCCTATTAGCATTACCGCTGTGTTCAGTACAACAGTTTACTTATTCCGTTTTTCCTAGTAGATTATTTAGGGAATCAAGCTGTTGCATAACAGTTGTTCGAGGAAAGATATATCAGGAACCAGTGACTGAAAACACAGCTAATTAAGACAATACATCCACGCTCAGATTCTTGTTTTATACTGTCTTTCCCAATAAGGTTACCAGAGAGACTAGCTTGAGATTTTACTCAAGTGCAGGTGTCTCTGAAAACAATGAGGCTAATACTTACTAATTTTACTTCAGTTTACGTTAAATATCAATTATTCTATTCCTTGAAGTATGAAAACAACTCATAAACAGTTTAAGATAATCCTTAAAAAGCTTGAGTCGTAAGTTTCCATCCCAGTTATATTTATTTAAACGGGATATTTGTAACCTTAAGAAAGTACTTATATGTAGTCTCTGATTATTCCATGATTTATTTAGAAATAGTATTCATCACGAACTGACATCAGTCGGAGAGCCATTGAAAACCTCAGAGCACTGGACAGCTGCATCATCCTAGTATGGGATACCTCAGTAGTACGTGACCGGTGACCCTACCAGGAGTCGAACCTATTGTTCATTAGTGAATTGACTGGAGATGAGATTCCTGCAGTTCTTATAGGAAGGCATGACCAGTGGGGCAAACTAAGTCAGAGACGACGAAACGTGATCAACGACAACACTGGATGAAGGTCGTGTTGTATTGCGAATCGACAGGAGCAGGGATATTTGGACCATCGACTTCTTACGCAGTGGTTCAGTGGCAACGCGCAAGCCACGGAACATGATGTTCCTCGGTTCTTTTCTTTGCAACTGCATAAGTGAGAGCTGCTACAGATTTCTATAGGAAGAAAAAAAGCTCTTCAGTGCTGTCAAGGTTTTCAGTAGTTCTCCAATTGATGTTAGTTAGTAATGATTACCAACTCTAAACTCTAAATGGGTTCGGACTACTGAGAAGTCCTATACTAAGCCAAAACACCTAGCATCTGTTCCTAGATTTTGAATGGTTCTTCAGTTGATATCAGTTTGTGAGGAATATCCCCACAAACTTAATGCAGTGGCTTACTTTTTCAGTCCAACCAATGTAGTGAAGCCTTTATATTCTAAGTAGAGAGCAAATGGATCATAACTGGAATCATGAAAACAATGAATCCACCGAAAATAAGTTTTAACTTTTAAGACTAAAACAATTATTTTTTGCATTGCAAGGGGGGAAGCATTATTAAACTTGAAGAAAAATTTGCAAAATAAAAGCATGAATCCAGTAGAACACATTTCTTTCTGTATGTTTGTATGTATTCGAACAGGAAACACAAAGAATGTTAGATGTATTGGTCGTATAGCAGCACTGGTGGCTAGAGAGGTATATTTTCTTGCCAGGTAAATACGAGGAGTAATTGATGGTTTACGTGTACACTAGTTGTTGGTTTTTAAGCGATTATTGTATATCTAAACTAATTTATGGGTTTGAATGTACGAAGATGGTGAGAGAAAAGCAGAAACTAGAAAGAAAATAACAGTTGAAACGAAAGAGAAATAAACTGTCCCGAAATTGATCAACATGTTTTCTTTTTTTTCTATTATTTTCAACTGATTCCATCAAAATGCATAGTGTTGTTAAAGGAGGGAACAATGAATATATGATTATGTAATAACAGGCATAATTTCCTTTGGTTTGGTATAACCAAAAATTAATCTAAAATGAAATAGGAAATGTGGTTCAGATTTCTTCTTCTGCCTTTTCTTCAATTATTGAATATTTACTCCTTTTTACGATGGAAACAAGACGATAAGATGAAAGAAAATGTTGGGAAAATGTTAAGAACAATAGGATAAATAAACTTTGAAGTGAATAATGAATAGAGTTTAGCGCTTGGAAATTTCTTCTCTGCGCTGTTACACACTCATACACACTAAAGAAAAACATATAACATAATATTTGTTTCAGTTAGGTAATATATGTTTCGAGGAAGAAGAAAGGAAATTGATTTCTATAGGCCACTTTGAATAAACAAAATGTATAAATCACCATGTAATATTTCATTTCGTTCAATGATTAGGATAAATGAACGAGCTATGTGTGTTCTAAGGTTGCCAATGTATTTGTATGTATGACAGACTATCCACTCCATTCATTTACTTTACATGTGTAATCCAGATAACAGAATAACACATTTTGTAAGAGTAAAACGAATGAAGGTTAACGACAGTGAGAATAATATCTTATTTATTTTTCTTCAAATTTTTTTATTGTTTAAGACTAATTAAGCTGTATAGTCTAGAGATCAGTGAAGAAGTGTAATTGAAGGTTAAAATATTATCAATTGTAATGGGGTAGATGAATTCACACAAAGTGGATACTTTTTCCATTCTCTTGAATTCTCCTTAACATGAATAAATTAGAGTTGGATGGTAAAATCAGCACTAACCGCATCAGAGTATGCCATTTCAGGTGGAGATGGATCTGAAAATTGCATCATCTAAACAAATAACAGCAATTAATTAGTATTCATGATATACCATACTAACTAACAGGCTAAAACATCAAAAGTATGCTATACTCGTCTATCGTAACTCCTTGACCCAGTAAATAACATTATGCCATCTGAAGTGACTGGTCTGATGTTCAAATCCTAGTGGGTACAAAATCACTTACTAGTAGGCAGATACATCGAGTTGATTAGTCCTAAATAGGATGAAATGCGCTTCCTGCAATCCATTGCTCGCCACTATCCATCGTTAATACTGGAAAGTGGTTTATTTGTGACACTGTGTTTTTACTGTAAGCTTCAATATAGAACTGCCTGTTCCTAATTAGTTATTTGCAAACAACTTTATTAGATTATCGCCTTTAATTTGAACCTGCTGTCTCAGCCAGTTAGTGTATAATTCGTTCTTAAAAGTTGGTTACCTAACGCTAAATATGAAGGCGGTGGAAAGTCAGGCCCAATGGTTAAAATACTAACATATTATTTAAAAGGATCATAGATCCTTAGTTTTATCTGTGAAAAGAGTTTCAGTGGTTCACACCAAGCAGTCGGTTATCATAGTATGACGTTCTATGTCAGTTTGACATGCAGTGTTAGTATTTTAAACAAAATCTTATTCCTAAGAAAATATTTCCAATCAGCAACAACATAAACTCAGTATACCGTTTTGTTCTTATGATAAAATCTCCAAAAATGTCACGAAAATTAGTAAATTTTCATCAGAAGCATCACTCTGCCCTACAAACCTTTTTCATTGCCTATCATAGGGGATCGGTACAAAAGGTAAAATGACCTAGAATTCTATGATTTATTGCGCTCAATTTTAGCTTTAATCAACTGTTGCATCCTTACGATAATTAGATTGCTTGTATTGCTGCGAAATGATGTATCATATACGTATAGAACATTATTTACCTAATTGTATTTACCTAATTTTCATAAAGAATTTTCTTACAGATTATATACTTCAATAATACCGTTGAAAGACGCTTAGAAAATAGGAGTTCAGATTCCTTACTTCCTATATTTTAAGCATACTACAGTTAGTTATGAGTGTATCCAGATGGCTGGTGAAAAGCTCACATTGTGCAGATAACTTCCGTCTAGATACAAAACAAATGGAGATTGTTACTCTGTTGACATGAAACACTCTATCACAGAAATATTTGCATCGAACCTCCTGAAGGCTTCCAAAGTGGCCAATTTTGCTGTTTTTTCCCAGTTTGGGACCCCTTAAAAGTATACACGCATAACATCACTAGAGATGGAACCCGAGAACTTCAGGTTTCTCAGCGAGTAGGTTACATTTTAGCCACTGGTTGGAAAATCCTGGGTCCTCTTGAGCGTACCGCTGGGACGAAACCACTGTCCAGTGCTCTCGCGTTCTTACAAGTGCTCCAATTGACATTAGTCAGTGATGAATATCGATATGGAATCAGTTGTATTCAGACTTGAAACATTATAGCGTTGGTGGCTCAGCTTAGATTAACAGTCTGTATTCACCTCAACAGTAACAAGAAGAACCATTCGAATACTGCCCGTTCTTGATGAAAGCTATCTTCAAATACATCCAGGTTTTCTCTTTTTCTCAACTCTTTCACTTTACAACCTTCTGAAGCTTTTTCGATCTAAGAAGGTTTGACTTTCATTGCGTTTCTACGTATATGACAAAGAAGCACTAAGAGTTAGATATGGAGGGGTGAACTTTCTAGATAAATCTATATGAGAGTTTACCTGTTATCTTATTGTCTAAATTGTGCTCATAGTTCAGATAAGGATAGATATGCAAGTTGGCTTTAATACAGTTATCTTTATATCGTATTCAGCTTTATTTCAGTCGTTCGATCTCGTAATGGAATGACGATCTGTCTTATTCTGACATAAATATCCTCCTTCATAACTAGAATATTAGATAAACTGACAGAGAAGTCAAGTAACTGAAGATTTTCAACTTTAATGATATTTTTGATGTTCTACAAGCTTAGAATTTTGTTCCTACATCTTTTATCACCACGCTAAGCGATTTATTAGCATTTACTTCATGTAGAAGTGAAGCAATTTCAAGTTATGCGAATATTTATGAAGGATATTTGTGAATCTTGAGAGTTATTGGCTTGTGAGTAGGAATGGCTTTTTCGTCTTTTTTATCAGATTCTGACCTTTATAACTGTCACTATCATTTGACCTTTGGTGCTGACTTGATATGATTGCTGACTTGCATGATTGATTACCACTTGATTGGTTCTTACTTAGTAGCCTATGTACTGGGTGAATGTTCTCGTGGCCGTAAGTTGCCATTTGATCAGATTGGCACGTTTCCCGGAATTGTTTTGCAGTTTTGCAGTATTTTACCCTGTCACAGTTAAAATTATGCTTGTGCGCAACTATATCCATCAATACCTTGTCGTTTGACTTCAAGTTGATGCTCATAAATTCTCTTGGCTATTCGACGACAATTTTTGCAACTTACTTTGTGGATTACATTCATTTTATCTTCTTTAGATGGTGGATCATTCAGCTTGTAGTTGGTTTACTTTTGCTACGCTGATACCGAATGGGTAAAGTAATCGATTAACAGTTTCTGGAATATCTTTGATTTTTCGTAAAGTGATCCGTTTTGTAGGTCTAGGTCTTCATGTGTGTTCTGTTGATAAGTATTTCTTGATAAAGTTGACTGAACAGTCATTGGTTTTGAACACATTATAGAGGCGGCTTTCTTTTAACTTAGGTGGTTACTGATTGATGCAGGATTCTTGTTACATGAGAATAGCGCTTGTACGCCAATCTTCTTATAAGACGTTGGGTTGTTACTACTCTAGTTCAAAACGCGACCTGTGTATGTGTTTCGCTTTCCTGTTTACTTGAGTCTATGAACTTCCACTATGTGTTCTACTGTTAAGAACGTCTAGGAATACAACTTCATTATTTCCCGTCTTTTTCTTTTATGAAATGAAAACATTCAACTGCATATGATCATTTTAGGCTCTTCTAGTGAATTAAACAAATTATTTGAAAAGTTCAGTTGGTTCGAACTTTTTCCCATCTCTCGTTGAAACTAGATAACATTTGATTGTTTGAGTATATTTCTCTCATTGAAGTATTCAGTGGATACTTGGACTGCAGGAAAGATACCGTTCTTTTAGGAAGGTATGCATTTAATAATAAATTTTATTTTAAATACTGGGAAAACGTAGAAAAAACATAAAAGAAGATCGTCTTTTATGTTCACAAAACTGATCATTTCCCTTACCTGTGAAAACACTAAAATTACTAACTAGGATTCAAACAACAGTAGAAAATCGTAATGACATGACTTTTCAAACAAACATATGATGTATGCATGAGTCAATGTGTGATGTCTCAGATCAAGTCATGAAATAGTACTTGTAGGTTGAGCTACATTCCTATTGGTTACTTCTGTTCCGTACTACTGTGATTCATACTATAATCTTCTTGGTTATCAAAGGTCAAATGTGAACGAAATGTATTCATCGTATAAAGTAAACTTTATTTCTGAGGTAGTATTTATCGTGGACTGACATCATTTGTAGAGTCATTTTAAACCTGTGAGTAGTAGATCCCGGATGGGGTTGAACTCAGGACCTCCAGTTTTCATAGCGAAGACATCAACCATTCAGCCACTCTGCCTGAGTTAAGTGGTCTACGGCTTCCCACTTTACTTGCTTCATCCAGATGTAGGATGTCTTAAAAACAAGATAAACAAATGTTTTGTACCTTGGGGTATTCTTCAAAGCTTTGAACATTTCACTGACACCTACCCAAGCTGAAAGACCCCATTGACTATCTGCAACAGCAGAACTAAGCCTGTGAGATAGTAGTAGTAGCAAGGTAGTGAATATAATGCTGCATATATTGAAAAGACACAACACCAGTTATTAAAATATCTAACTGAAGGTAGACGAAGTTGCTTACAGCAGATAAAAAGTACCTATGAACTGGAAAATCTAAGAAGAGGCCACCCTATCGCGGCTGATGCCCTATACTCAGGTTACAAAATATCATTTGAAAAGTGCCTCTGTTTTTATGAAGAGAAGGGAATTTCAGATCTTATTTATGCATGTATCTGCGTTGAGCTGACGAGATATCACACAGCTATCATAAATATTAGTGGCTGGCATGAAAATCTCCAAGTAGCATGCAAGTAGAAGACTGAACAGCACTTAATTGCTCTACATCATACTATTCCACATAATTTATCCCTTCAGTAAGCATTGAATGTTCACTCCAAGACACAGGGACACCTTATTGAATCTGTGTTCATCAATATTCATGTACCAATTTAATTATTCCTGTGGTACAATTAGACACATCCATCTCATGGTTCGACAGCATTTCCCGGTTTCATCTCCATAGGGTACGGTAAAAAATCATTAGGGGTTCTAAATTTGGACATTTAGTAGATATAAGACACCACAAAGTTCTTACTGTGATACACCGCTTTCCAAAGACTCCACTAAGTGCTACTCATTTAAGCACTCTGTACGTAACTGCAGTTGTACCTATGAAATTCACCAGGCCTGAAATTTGTACTCAAAAGTAAACACTCATGGCTTATTCTCTTTACGGCTTTCCGTCGACTAAATATGATACTCTTCTTCTTTTCGTTCGTTATCTTCTTTAAAAAGATGGTTTTAACTAAATTTTCCCTTTTATGCTATAAACTGTTAAAATTCTCATGTTGACTAGCTGAGATAGACGTGGTTTGGCAGATTTGTATTGATATTGGGTGGTAATTGAAGGTGGAATGAAAATTTGGACCACGGTGGGATTCAAACCGGCGGCCACCAGGTTTTTGGTCCAATACCCTATCAACTGGGCTACGAGGTCCGAATGTTGACCAGATTTTTATTTCACGTCAGTCACCAAGGGTTTTGTCCAACTATCATGGGAATTCATGACGCATTACTGCTACTTGATCGTATTCACGCTGGCTGTCTAGTCAGGACCTCTCATCTCAATCCCAATCTAAGGGAATTAGAGAGGGGAAGCATCATACTCCCCATCATTTTGACTATATAAGATAGTCGTAAAATGTTTGCATAGTTCGTCTACTATTCACTCTATCTTTAATCTTTTTATCGCACTATCCAAGTCATTTCAGAAATTGACCATCCGTTGCATTTATACCCATATGGGATGATTTATGTTATTTTCTTGGTACTAATCATTTACCAGACACTGTTACACTGCAGTTTATCGATAATTTTTCTACCCAATTTGGAATGCAATTACTTCAGTATTCGACTTTTAATAACCAATAGGATTATAGTATAAATTATAGTAGCTTACTAATCGGGAACAACTAATGGAAGCGTAGTTAGACATACAAGTGCTATTCACGGAAGGAAGTCATATGCAACTATTGATTATCGCCTAAATCTAAATGAGTCAAGGTTATTATGACCATGTTACCGTAACCATAAGTAGGTATTCTGTGTTTGACCTTGATAGAATTGTTTAGCGGAACTGCTTTTTTTGTTATCGCGTTAAATTCAAATTTTTGCCCTTTCTACGTTTTTCTGAAGTATCAATTCTAGTGAATTCTAGGCATAAATGAATTAAACTCTTAATTCATTTCTGAAAACAGCACAAAAATGTAACTTTCTGAAATTAGTTTAAATGGATATCAAATACTGAAGGATGAGGATGTTGATGATGATAAAAAAAGCAATGAAGAATGAAATCTACAGGAAGACATCCGTAAAGATTAACACGCACGCACACATAGACAAATCAGAAAAGCTAACACACCTATAAATCAGTATGATATCTTTTTTCTCATCTAAGCAATTACACCTTTAATAACACCAATGAAAAGAATCAAATGAATGAAGTAAGCATCAGTAATCATATGATAGAAGTACTCATTAAAGATTCACACTGCACACCGCAAACAGCCATTCTACTCACATGCAGTGAAAACGACCACACAAAAATACTAAAATGCATCAAAACATAACCGTACAAGCACCGTCACATATACATATTATGCATTCGATCAAAATCAATGATCTTACACTCATTATCTCTTAGCACAAATGTTCTTATTTAATGAACAAAAAATGATAACAGTCATGTGAATCAACAACGGTGAACTAGTCTAAATTTCTACTGCGTAAAGTAGGTGCTTACTTTCTAGATGTATAATAGTACTTACTGTTGTGATATGACCTGTGGACCAGATGACTTAGATACAACAAGAAAAGTAAATATGAAAAATGAAAATAGTATTTTTCATATCAGGAGAATTTTATGCTACCTTGGTGTTAGGATTAGTTTAGGCCTAGTTCTGTGATTGATTTCAAGCTTATAAACACATAATACATTATTATTACATGAATAGGAGAAAACCGGTTGTGTGTCACTGTTTTACTCGTCCTGTTGACCGAATATATTACTCATCCATGCATTCTACCACTAGCACTTGTTTTTACAAATTAAAATCTAGTCGGCAGTCAGGTATCTCAGCTCAATTGGTAGAACATCAGGCCGGCAACCCAGATGTCGCTACTTCGTATTCTGCCACGGCTTAGATGTTCATTTCCCCTTCAATCATCACTAAGTAGTAATTGATTATCTCAGTAGCTATTAGGTTAACCTTTCAAATTACTCATTAAGTAGCAATCAAGATAATTAAGTGACTGTTTAGAGTGATTTTAAAGGCGAGTCTACCAGACAGTGAACTGATCAATCATATTTCTCTATTTTGTTTGAAGAGGTGGCCTTTTCAAAATATAAACAAAGCCGATTGGTTATTTCAGTGGCTGTTCGAGTGGTCTTTAGAGACAATCATTTTCCAGAACATGTTCACGCTAGGAATACTTTAGGTAAACGTATCTGTTTAGCTATGCATCTTTCCAGAACAATAAACAATAATATTAAGTAAAGGTAACTGTTTAGAAAAAAGATAAGTTTTAACAATCTCATTCACAATGCTGCACAATCACAAATACATACTAATTTTACCAGGCTTCTCTGGGGTGTAAGATAGTAAAAGTAATTTTTCTGTGTATAATAAGCTTTAAAAATGATCGCATAAAATCAATAATAAACGAATAATACCTTTGTTATCTATATGAGTTGAATTATGTTCCATAGGTGCTTATTACTTGCCAGTTGACAAGTAGACTTCATCTAAGATGGAAAAGTGACCTATGAACTGACCAGCAAGACTGATGAGTCAATAAGGAGATCAACCTAAAGAAAGCTTTGTAGAACTTGGTGGTGAACTAACAAGATTTCTAGGTAGATACCCTTATGTCTCGATGGAGATCATCTGTCACTTACATTATTCGCAGAAGCATATTGGTTAAATATCACATAGAGGCATTTACCTCTCTGTGAAAAAGATGCATTACGTACATTAAAAACTTCAAAGTTAATCAAATGGCTAACATTCTAGAGGAAAGAATATCAAGCTAAATTGATTAGAGATATCTAATCAGTAGGCTTGAATAAGTTAATTTTTCTGGAGGTCAAATCTGAGTTACTCTTAATGTCATTCCAATACCTACTGAAATGACCAATTGGATTTCATGTAAATTTTTACGTACAAAGTACGTTTTCAAGCGAAATAAAGAGACATAGTTGTTCATTTCAGTGATTGAATTCAATTGCTCCGCTAAAGAAATTTATATACGTCGCTTGATGTGAGTTTCTGTCAAAAGAGTCTAGGAACAATACTTGGCGTTGTCGCAAAGAAGTAACAGTCAGTTTATGACAAGTGTAATCCAAATCTGAGGATTCTGAGGACTTATTTGTTGATTTGAAGTTGGTATTGATCATGGACTAAAATCAGTTGGAGAAACATTGGAAACCTGGGGGCACCACACAGATGTTTCTTCCTAGTATGAGACTCCTTGATAGAGCGTGCCTATGGTCCCATCGGAGATACAAACAAAAATGTTCAGGTTCCATGGCCAGCACGTTACCATTGAGCTAATGGGTCAGAATCCATGATAAGTACCAAACTGAAAAATCACTAAATCCCCATAAACCCCAAATTCAGTTGATTTAGTGTTCATTGGTGAATAGCTTCGAGTGATGATTCACAGAAGTCACAATGAGAAGTCATAACCAGTGAGCAATGGGTGATGGTCGCGCGAGTTTCAAAAACTGCGCGCTTCTGTCAGTGGCAGTAAATATAGAAAATGGGTTCGTAAAACATGTTACACTTTCTTCTAGGAACCCTAAGTTAAATGGACTACATGACAGAATCGAATGATTTAACATCTTGGTGTTTATCAGTAAACTTCAGTAAAATATGGAGACCACAACCGATATGCATTCTAAACACAGATTAGTAACAAACGATAGTCTGTGTTGTTATACTGATAACTACAATCAGCAAACTTAGTACCCTAAACGCGAGGAAAGTGAATATCTAAACTTCTAATAAAAAAAACACTTACAGAATTCATAATAGGTGGTGACATCAGAGGTGGCGGTGGAGGTGGTGGTGTTGGTTGAGCAGGTGATGGAACATTCATTGGTGTTTGCTGTTGCGGCTGTGGTGGTCCAGGTGGATTGATTGATAATGGTTGTGAAAATGGTACTGGTTGTGAAGGCATAGCTGGACGCTGAGGCTATATAGCAACCATTTCATTGTCAAATAGAGCGGAAATTGTTGAAAAAAAGGTGAAAAATAACTTAAAAGAAAATTTATAATAGCATATACTTAATTTTTCTCCTAGGGCTACCAAGAACTCTTAGCGTTTCAGAGTGGTTCTACATCACAAAATCATGTGACATATGGATCGACATTGTCCTGATTGCTCTCTCAAACTGGAAAACTAAACGAACAGTTACTGGTTCATAGGTGATTTCTTGTAGAGCTTATAATTGTCAATAAGCTATTGTGACAGGTCAAGTAGATATAAGAGACGCATTTATTAGATGGGTGACAAAACACCATTTCAGATCAAATTTTATTTCATCATATTTCTTATTATTATCATTATTATTTATCCCTTGGGTTCCTAATGCAACATAGGGCTTCAGTAGCACGTCTTCAGTGCACTCTGTTCTCTGCAATCTTTTGAACCTAGTTCCACGACTGCCCACAAGTTCTCATTTCTTCCCCACACGATCTCCTCCATGTCACCCTCGGAAGCCCAACTCATCGCTTCCTATCTGGGCTCCACTCGACGGCCTGGCCTGGCACGTGACATCCCCAGTCATATTTCTTGCGATAGGTAAATTTAGATTAAGGGATTGTTACTACTTTCATTTAACTAACTGAATTTTGAATCTATCCTCTCTATTATCGATACAACTTATTCCTATCTGTTGGATATCCACGAAAAGTATTTGATTGAACTGCACTACTCACCTGATTTTCATCTATCTAAACAACTGATGGTATCCACCAACTTCAGAATCTTTCCTTTATTATACATGAGATGGCAGCTTTTTGAAAAATAAACTCTGCTGAACACAATAAAAGAATAGCTATCATTTTTCCATTACAGTTATCTACTTGAACTATAAAACATTTTCCATCTAATACATTACATCAGACTGGATCGCTTCAACTGATTTTTAAATCTCTGAAATATGATTTTTAAGCGAGAATCATGTAACCTTGTGTAAATGTTTTCAACTTGTCATTTTTCATTTCGACAATTAAATAGAGAAACAACTTAATGATAGATACCAATGAACTTTTAAACGTTGAACAATACATGATTTGACTATTCCTAAAACTTGTAGCTCGAAACATGCATCCTTCGTTCATTCCTCCCTTCTGACTATAATATAATAATAACAACAGCTAATTGTCACATATTATTGCTTGTAATAATGTTTTTATTAACAGTACTTAGTTACTATATTCATCTGAATTAAAAGTATTGTCCAAGGGATAAGTTTGTTAAAATTATGTTGGCTGAGAGCTTTATATTATATCAGACACTTTGTCTGCAATAAAATATGATTGACATTGTTGTTATTATTTGACATCTTTTAGTCGTTCAAGCTTCTTTATATGTTTCTCCCTTAATCGCAAAATATCAATCCACATACTTTCTATTCACAATTCCCAAATACATGAAGTGTGAAACACAATTTTGTACATAGATTTTACTAAACTAAGTCGGAAAAGCAAGACAGGCGTTCATCAACCTAAAACTAGTGTGGAGATCTACTGCACTTAGCATAAAGCGTGAACAACATCCGGATTTTCAACACCAATCCAGTCAAGTCAGTGCTTCCATGTGATGGTTGGCGAGTTACGAAAAACATTCCCAACAAACTACACACATTCACCAACAACTGTCGCCTACGCTCACTCGTTACTGAAGCTCAGATGGCCAGAATTATAAGAATAAGCAACAAGGAACTCTGGCTGGCTGGGTGTCAACGAACCAACCAAGAGGCTATCGCCCAACAAATATACAGCAGAAGGAAGTGGAGATGGATGGGAGTGAGCATGCACTGAGAAGGCCAACTGGGGACATCACGCTCCAGTCCAGGCCATCGAGTGGAACCCAGATGTGAAACGATGGGTTGGGTGTCTGAGGTGAGGATGACATGTAGTAGATGGTGTGCGGAGGAAATGAGAGTTTGTGGGGAGTCGTGGAGCCAGGTTGAAATGATTGGAGAGAGAGGAGAGTGGAATGGAGACGTGCTACTGAATCCCTATGTTCCACTAGGAAGCCATGGGACAAATAACAGTAATAACAATAAACTAAGTCAGATTTCCTATTCCAGGACATTTCAGTTAGGCTTATGGTCGTTTGTAAACTGATATTCTAAGTTATAGTTATCCATTCCATTTTTTTTTATAATAATAATATTCGCTTTATTGTAAACTGTTTTTCGTATAATTTGGAATTCCCAGCATGATATATTCCAACAATAACAAAGTGTATGTATGTATATACTCCTTTACAGTTTTTCGAATTGTGCTATTATAAAAATGTTAGTAGTGCAAAGATTAAAGACGAGAACATTTTACAATATTAATTAAAGTATTGGAATGAGATTGTTAACTGTTACAAAGTTGATATGTGAGTTCTGTACTAACACTTTCATCCTCACATAATATGCTTGTTAGGTAAGGCACAGTCGGATTCTTGTATTCAGATGTACGAGCGAGCAGTCTCATATATTCTCTTCTTATCCTTCCTCAGGAGATACAACGAGAGAGGTGGGAATGAAGTGGATGCTCAGTGTCAGTTAAAATTATTGTAGCTTGCTGCTTTCTGAAATTAATATGTCTATCAACTACTGTGTTAATCAGTTTGGCCAGAGATACACCACTCACCCTACTGACGGCTTTTAAAGCCCTACACAATATAACATAGTCCACTTGTAGTAGACCAGGAGAGATCAACGGGGAACAGAAGAGAACAGAGAATAAGTAAAATTCAGGGATTAATAAATCGTAAAGTTAGACGTTGAGTTATACCAGAGAGTCTCAGTTCCTTTATGTAATACTCTGAATGAAAGATTACTCCACAAGTCAACAAGATATGAGATCAGCAAGGATCAGAAGTAAGTCTCACTTCAAGGTAGTTAACACTGGATTTAACTTCTGCACAAATACCATCAATATAACAGGAGTCATGAGATTTAAGCCGCTCACACAGGTCTTGTTTAGGTCTGAGACTAAAATTAACAGTCTGATATTTATAAGTGTTTAGCTTGAAACCATTTGAGAGAGACCATTGGTTAATAAGAGACAAGAATCCACTTAATTAAGAGCAGCCTAATTGAGAGTTAGCTAGAATAGAAACCTTCAGATTATCAGCATACTTTATAAAATTAGCTTCAATTGAATACGGTTAATGATATAGGAGGAACGACAAGGGAAACGGAGAAAGTACTGAACCTTGAGGCACACCAGCTTCCATAAGCAATGAGGTGGGGCACTTTCCTTTGTAGAAACTATACTGTTTCCTTTCAGGAAAATAAGAATACAGACACTTGGTTAACAAGAGTGGTCTAGGACCAGATTCAAAGGCTGATGAATAGTTCAAGAAGGCACAACGAACACACCTTTATTGTTAAGACTGTCGTAGAAGAATTTGTGTTCTAATTCTGAGTTGACTATTATCAAAGTAAGCTTCAAAATTAACTCATTGTTTAGAAAACACAACAAAACTTTTCTAGACGTTTCGCTGTGTATGCGACAGCTTCTTCTGAAGAATATATAGATTTCGGTTTTATATATATATATATATGTTCCATCACTTTCCTGACTGTGTCCATCAACATGATGTGACTCCTAATATTAATTTCCACACCTCATCACCTTTTGTTCTACCAATATTCATCTGCTTTCTTATTCTTGCTTCATGGTTTATTGTTTATGACAGACCACTGGAGAAAAAACACTCCACTTATTCTACCCAGTTACTGTGCAATTCACGTAAGAATAAATAACCTGTTGCACATTATTATAATTGTCATTTTTAATCCTGTATAATTACTCTGTTGATTATTTGCATGTTGATTTCTCAAACTTATCATCTTCATGACTCACTGAAGCTACCCATAGGTACGAGGTTCGAGTCTAAGTCGGAACAACGTCACTCACTGGAGTGGTAGTACACCCGGCTGATGAGTCCCAAATAAGACGAAACGCACGTCCTAGCTTCCTCTGCTAGCCACAATCAACCAAATTACCATAATTTATATTCAGGCAATATCGAGGTGTCCTGATAGGAGCCCATATGCCGATAGAGGTCGAACAATTCAATCCAGTGAAACAACAGAGAATTACAAGCATATCCATTAATATTAATAAGTAATACCCGTTGTACAAAAGGTGGCTATCGTGCCTTCGTCGCCTAGGGGTAACGCCTTGGCGTTTAAAGCAATGGGTACGAGGTTCGAGTCTCAGCGGGAACAACATCACTTACTGGGGTACAGGCACATGTACCTGACGAGTCCCAAATAGAATGAACTACACAACATGGATTCTTCTGCTAGCCACAACTAAGTAAAATAGTAATGTTTGGTACTTTTTATCCAAGTATCTCTTTAATGAAGATTAGAAAATGACTATAAAGATATTATTTCATATGTGTAATATTTATCAATTATGTATACCAATCAATCACTGACCGGTGGTGCATTCATTCTAATGGCTGCATTATTTTGCTGAAATTGTGGCTGTTGTTGTTGTTGCTGAGGTTGCTGTTGCTGTTGAAACTGTGTTGCTACTGGAGCCTGAAACTGTGGACGAGGCGTAGGTTTCTGCACTGGCGGCTAAAATGAGCGAATACGATACTTGAATATCAAAGCACTGGGAATATAGGTAGTTATAAAAGTTACAAACAATAAGAAATATGAATTTTTCTCTTATTATGATGAAATGAATTGTTCCAATATGTTATTCACTGGTTATCTTAGGCATTTTTACGGTGATAGAATAAATGCATCAGTCCGACTAGCTAAACTGTATGCTTCATTGCACACCAGAGCTGACTACCATAATAATCATACGTTTTGTCGTCGAAAGTCTTGGAAAAGTAATTCATCAGGTACAGCATTGTTTAAAGTAGTCTATACCACTTTAGAACTAATGAAAGTCATCCAATCTAAAAACTTTTCTAAGGAGAAAATATCTGCATCATGTCGAACCCCTACTGATTCACATCTTTCGAGTAAACATTAAATATAACTGCTTGAGTGTGTTTTTATTTCCTCAGTGGGGTAGATGATGATCAGGCTAACGATTTCATAAAAAAACCTAACAGACTATTATTGGTGCGTGTGTTATCTGCTTAAATTACTTGACTAAGTCACTGTCTGCCCCCAATAGTAAATAACTCTTTTACTGAAAACCATTAACTGAAATACTGGAACCCGACAGAAGACAAATGCCTCATTGTCCTGTTCGTGATATAGTTGAGGTTATTGTTAGCATTAAAGATGTTGACACCACCAGTAAAGTTACGTTTTCCTTAGATGCTACCTCATTGTTCACCAGTGTACCACTCACTGAAATCGTTTGTTACATATGTGATTTCATCGATTCACACAATATAGAAGTAGGATTTCCAAGAAACTAACTGACAGCGTGGTTGATGAGATGTATTTTTAATGTGCAATTTAGTTTCGATGGTGAGATATATCGGTGAAATGATGAGATTGCAATGAGATCCTCACTGGGACCTCTAATGGCAGATTGCTTTGTGTTAAAACTTTAAAAAAATTATTCTAAGCCAAACTATTATTCATTTTGACACCTACAAACGATACGTAGAGAATTTATTCGTTATTTGTGATTCAACTATCGATCTGGATAACATCTTAGGCAAGTTTAACAATTGCCACTCAGCGCTGGAATTCACTTTTGATAAGGAATTAGAATCAGTTATTCCTTTCCTTGACGTGCTGATTACGAGAGGTAGCAGTGGAACGCTGAAAAGATCAATCTACAGGAAACCAAAGTGGAATGGATAGCTTATTAATTTATATAGGTGCCAATCATGAAGAACAGAAACCTCATTCACTCACTCTGCTATCGAATACCTAATATTTGTAGCACGGACTGTGTTCAAGTTAAACCTGACTTACTAAGAGGGACGTTTGCGGAAAACGGCTATCTTAGCCGATTTATCGGTAAACATATGCGAGAAAGAAATGCAAAATCATTCATCAGCTCAGTTTCTAAAAAGACTTTGCTCATGATTTTGGAATTTAAGGGTGATGCAGCATCAGATATCCTGAAAAATCGTCTTTCCAGATCAGCCAAACTTCACTTCATCTTTATCAGTCTTTAGTTGTTCTCCGTTTGTATAAAAGACAATATACCTCGATAGGCCACATCCATATGTATCTACCAGTTCACATGCTCCAGTGGAGCAAGGTACATCGGCTGTAGTTAGAGATTGCTGTTGACACGTGTACGAGAAAATATTCTGGCCTGGTTTTATGTGTGAACGGAAATTCATTAAAAGTTCTATCCTTGAACACTCAATCGATTCCAACCATTTAAGTGACTCAAACAACGATTTCAAGGTTGTCCATCGAATTCGCTCAAATACCTCACGTTTCCTACGTGTTCATCTTCTAGAAACAGCAGAAGCATTGGCTATCCATGAACTGAAGCCTGATCTTTGTGTGCAAAAGAAGTGAGTACAGTCTTTGTCTCTACCTTGGCCTTGACTTATTCTAGTCTTGGTGTGCTTGTTAATCTTTGTACTTTTATATCGTCATTATCACTTCATTTTTATATTTAATTGCATCCGGCGTTATTTCATTTGATCTTCCTAATAATTGCAACTTTTACAAAACATTTTCCATTTATATACTAATGATGGATAATGCCTAGCAGTGGAACCCAAGATGCTCATTTCTTCCTGTTTGGGACTCATCAGCTGGATGTACCTGCCTCCCAGTGAGTGATGTTCTCACCATGATTCAAACTTGGGACCGATCACTTCAAACGCCAGAGCATCTACTAGACCACCGAGTTATGATAGTCATTTCTTGTGCAACGGGTATGGCTTTAGTGTCATTTTTTGTATTATACTGTCATTGATTAGACCATATGCCACTACAAACCGATCAATTTGGTCCAATTAACGTCAGTTTAGTAAAAACAATAACTCTATTTTCAGTTTATTCCAATTAACTTGTCTCATTCATATTACCTATCTAGGCAGCACTGTTTCAACTACAGGCGGGACAGATGAGGATGTCAAAGTCAGAATCGGAAAGACAGTAAGACAGGCGTTCATTAACCTGAAACCAGTGTGGAGATCTTCCGCACTGCACTCAGCATAAAGCCTGAACAACATCCAGATTTTCAACACCAACCCAATCAAGTCAGTGCTCATGTATGGTTCAGAGACTTGGCGCATCACGAAACAGATTTCCAATAAACTACACACATTCATCAACAACTGCCCCCTACGCTGGCTCGCTTCTGAAGATCAGATGGCCAGAAATAATAAGCAACAAGGAGCTCTGGGAAAGAACCAACCAACAACCTATCACCTAACAAATATGCAGTGGAAGGAAGTGGAGATGGATTGGAGTGGGCATACACTGAGAAGACGGTTCGGGGACATCACGCGTCGGGTCCTTGAGTGGAACCCAGATGGGAAGCGACGAGTTGGACGTTCGAGGTGAGGGTGACATGGAGGAGATGGTGTGAGGAGGAAATGGGAGCTTGTGGGGAGTTGTAGAGCCAGGTTGAAAAGATTGGAGAGAGAAGAGAGTGTACTGGAGACGTGCTAGTGAAGCCCTATATTCCATTAGGAACCCAAGGGACAAATAATAATAATTCATATTACCTAATTCTTTGATGGTGTATTAACTATGCCGAGTTTTTACCCCCTTTCTAATCTATATGAACATTATAAACGACTTAAAAATCTTACGCAACCCCTTTTGTTACCATTCAACCTTCACGAGCACGTCTCCAGTACACTCTCTTCTCTCTCCAATCTTTTCAACCTGGCTCTACAACTCCCCACAAGCTCCCATTTCCTCCTCACACCATCTCCTCCATGTCACCCTCACCTCGAACGTCCAACTCGTCGCTTCCCATCTGGGTTCCACTCAAGGACCCGACGCGTGATGTCCCCGAACCGTCTTCTCAGTGTATGCCCACTCCAATCCATCTCCACTTCCTTCCACTGCATATTTGTTAGGTGATAGGTTGTTGGTTGGTTCTTTCCCAGAGCTCCTTGTTGCTTATTATTTCTGGCCATCTGATCTTCAGAAGCGAGCCAGCGTAGGGGGCAGTTGTTGATGAATGTGTGTAGTTTATTGGAAATCTGTTTCGTGATGCGCCAAGTCTCTGAACCATACATGAGCACTGACTTGATTGGGTTGGTGTTGAAAATCTGGATGTTGTTCAGGCTTTATGCTGAGTGCAGTGCGGAAGATCTCCACACTGGTTTCAGGTTAATGAACGCCTATCTTACTGTCTTTCTGATCATGACTTTGACATCCTCGTCTGTGCCTGTACCGCCTGCAGTTGAAACATTGCTTCCTAGATAGGTGAAGGAGGCTACTTCCTCTAAGTTTCTTCCCTCGATGGTGATTGGAGTTTGTTGGAGTTGTTGGTTGGGTATCTTCATCACTTCTGTCTTCTCTATATTCATTTGAAGTCCCGTCTTCGCTGCCTCATCTCTTCTGTCAACTTATCAGTTTTTTCCTGTAGATCTTCAAATTTGTCTGACATTAGACACAAGTCATACTTAGCGAAATCCAAATCTTCTGGGATCTTTTCACCGGTCCAGCCAGCGTATCCCCCTCTTCTCACAGCTCCCCACTGTTTGCTGCATGATCCAGTCCACCACAATCAGGAATATCATGGGTGATAGTAGGAAACCTTGTTTCACTCTTGTCTTCACTCCACTTCAAAGGCATCATTGGGCTTCCCATTGTGAATTACTTGGCCGGCATGTGGCATCTTCATATAGTTGTTGAATGAGGCAGATAAAGGTTTGCGGTAATCCGTAGTAATGAAGCAGTTTCCAAATTACTTCTCGGTCGACGCTATCAAAGGCCTTCTCAGAGTCGACAAAGTTGAGGAAGAGAGCTGATTGACATTCTATACTCTGTTCTATGATGATGCGAAGCGTTGCAATTTGGTCTGCACATGATTTGTACTTCCTGAATCTAACCAGGCAGCCTGTTCCGGTCGTAGTTTTGAATCCAGTGCATCCTTCAGCCTCTCCAGGATGATGAGGATTAATATTTTGCTCGCTTTGGGTGGACAGGAAAGTGATTCCGCGCCAGTTCTTGCAAACAGTGAGGTCTTCCTTCTTCTTCAGTTTGACAAGGTAACCCTTCTTCCAATCAATAGACAGGTACCTTCTCTCCCTTCCACACCTTCTGCAATAGAAGTGGTGTGAGCATGTCCGCTGTTGTCTCTGCGTCTGTTCTCAGTGCTTCTGGAGGGATCCCATCTGGTCCTGCTGCTTTCCCGCATTTCAGTAGCTTTATGGCGTTGAGAACTTCCATTTTTGTTGGAGGATTTATGTTCACGTGTAGTTGCTCAGAGGCTGGGCTGTAGGTGGTATTCCTGGACGAAGTGTAGGTGGTGGTGGTCGATTGAAGAGCTTCTTGAAGTGGTCGGCCAGCCCATTGTTTCCTTTGTTTCCCTTCTTTCGTAATTAAATTTCCATCATCATCTTTTATTGGTTTCGTCTGTGTTGATCTCTTCCCTGATAGCAACCTGGTTATTTGATACAATGTTGTCAGGTGTCTGTCTCTCTTACCTGCAGCCTGTTTTGCTTCACTTGCCAGTGTTTCGTAGAAGTGTCTTTTGTCTTTCCGTGCACTCTTCTTCACTTCTTTGTCCAGTGAAGTGTTTGATACATTGTGCTCAGTTCCTCTTGTCGTTGAGCATGCTTGCACTGGTCTATCTTCTGCTTCCCCATCTTCCTCTCCCTCGTCTATCAGATCCGATGTGTCCGTCGAGATCCACTCCTTATCTTCTTTCTTCTTCCTTCCCAATACGGCTGTGCAGGTTTCTTTCCACATCTCTTTCAAAGACTTCCAGTGTTCATCCACACAGGTTTCTTCAGGGGTGTTCCTCGATATCTCCCAGTTTCTCTTGATGGCTGCCTTGAAGATCTCCTTTGTAGTTTCATCCTTCAGTTTCTGTTCTGGGTGTTGTATTTGAGCTGTGGTCTATCACCAACTTCCTTGAAGGCTTTCAACTTGATTTGGAAGGTTCCTTGCACTAGATAGTGAGTGGTGTGAACCTACATCTGCTCCTCTTCTTCCCCTTGTGTCAAGTAGACTGCGTCTCCATTTTCGTGAGATTGAGATAAAGTCGATCTGATATTTAGTATAGTGTGTCCCTCTGGTGTCTGGTGAAATCCATGTCACTTGCTTTGTGGATATCCTTGTGCTTGAACACACTGCCTCACTGCAATCAACAAATCGTTGAATGCACAGAATTCTGCAGACAATTCTCCATTCTCGTTCATCACCTCACCGAGTGCTGTGCTTCTCGACCCATGGTTAGTTCTCTTCCTGTGTTGCCCCTCCCAGTTTAGCATTCATGTCGCTACAACCATTAGAATTCTGATATCGCCAACTGAAGTGGTGTCTTGTCCAGTGTTGATTGAAGTTGTCTGTAGAATTCCCCCTTTTTCTCTTGCTCTGCATTATTTGTAGGTGCATAGCATTGTATGATTGTGACCTTCCTTCCTTTTGAGTTGAACCTTGCTGTCACGATCCTGGAGGAGATTGGTTCCCACTGCACAAGAGACAACCTTCGATGCTCTTGGGGACATCATGATAGCCACTCCATAACTCAGTGTGCTCGTGGTTGTCGTCTGGGTGACAATATAGGAGTAGATCATTGATTCTCCAGTTGACAGTTTGGAGAGTCCACTCCCATTCCATCTGCTTTCTCAAATTCCAAGCACTTCAGTGTGATACCTCTTCATCTCTTTTGCAATCTGGGCTGCCTTGCTGGGTTCAAGCATCCTGTCGACATTCCATGTCGCCACGTTTATTTTCGCTTTCATCGAGGGAGAGAAGACACATTGGCCAATTGGCTTCCCGAAGGCTTTCACCATCCTCGCCTGGTTAACTAGTTCACTAGTTACTAGCCGGTCCTAAGCCCGGGTATACAGGGAAGGTTGGGTATAGGGCTAGCAACCCTACCCCGTAAAACAAATCTAACCGCTAAAGAAACTTCAAAGCATATGAACTGATACAGATGTCCAGGTATGAAAACCAGACTGCGACAGTGACACCCAAACCATTTGATAAACAGTCACTTGTGACGTATCATTGATAGTTAACCTATGAGTTTATATGTCAGGGTTAATATATCTCTGGTACAAATCAAAATCTCCGTAATAATGTTCTATTCTTAGACATTTTGGAACTGACCAGTAAGGTGACTCTAAAATCCACCCTAACAACGACTGAAACCAGCAATCAGATTTCTGCAATTAGACCGGAATCCTTTTTTCTCATGGAATGCAGGATTCTAATCGATTTGTTCAATAGTTGTTTGGGTAGCCTTTGCATGCATTTCTTAAATTCATTTTGTTTATTTGGATGGCGTAAGGGTACAAAACATGGAGAACAGCTACCACTCAATAATACTGATTTATCTAGGTAAGTAGAGTAACTTGCGGTTGAATTACTGTTTCTTCTAAACAGCAATGTATCGAATAGTATTAAACAAGCAAATGAATACCCATGCTTCAGCGACCACGTGGATAATGCTTTGTCGTTTGAAGCGATGGCTGTGGGGTTTCACTGTGAGTGAGAACACTACTAACTGTGGTACAAGTATATCTAGGTGACGAGTCCCAAGTAGGACGAAGTAGGCGTTTTTAATTCCCCCTGCTATCCACCACTAAGTCATTTGTAATATAATGAATATTCAGGTAACAATGAGAAATCCACATAGAAGTCCACATACCAAAAGAGCTCAGTTAACTCGATCCAATACAACAATAGGCAATCACGATTGTCATTAAGTAGAAAGAAACCATATAAAAACACCTGCAAAACGATAATATAATGATGATCATCTTAATAAAGCATCTTTCATAGATATAAAATAGCCTTTCAAAACGTTCTTCACCTTCTTCTTCTCTGATCTTAATCTTAACACTTCGAAGAATGCCCTACCGAGAATATTTGCCGACATTTGCTCGACTTTGTCTCGGCGTTAACAAGTATTTTCCAACTGTTGATTTCTTGCTTCAAGTCTAACAGTTTATCTCTAAAAATTGAACCAATAAATAAGAATCAGATAACCGAGATTTTCATCTTCGCCTTAGCTCACAGCGTAATACTTCTCATGTTAGCTAATATAGTGAGATAGTAAGGCAAAAATTTCTGTTATCTTTGGATAATATCACAAGTAACCAAATACTATAATGTCATCAGATTAAAACTGTGCTTCATTACGTTTTGACAAAAACTTGGTAACTACTTTAATGCTTCACTTACCTGAAAATTATTTTGTTGTGGTGGCTGATTTTGTTGTACCTGAGGTTGAGGTGGTGGTGCTCCTGGTTGCCTTTGATGTTGTCCAAAATTAGGTTCCATTTTCTGTGGTGGTGGTGTTGGTGGTGGTACACTAGAACGTCTGCTGGTGCGTAGCTGAGATTGAACACGAGAGTAGAGATTTTCTGTCTCTTCAACATCTAGGCCAGCAGCTGATCGGCCACGGCTTTCAAGAGCTTAAGTTGAAAAATTTGTTAATCACATTAGAATAGTTTATCATATTTACAGACGTTCATGTTAAATTCGGCAAATAAAGTAAATTTTGGTGGAATAAAAATGAAAATCTTAGAATTTTTGACTAATATTTAGTAAGGGTGAGTATGTAGCAAAGCCTTAAGCATCGATTTTGTCCCTTCTGAGTTAACTGTTGGTAGTTGGTTGCTAATGCAGAAAACATCTATAAATCTCTGTAAATATAACAATATTTTGACCAACAAACATGTTTACATAATCTGCTAATTAGAAATATCAATTTGGAGGTTCGTGGAGACTCACCACACTAACAACTAGAAGCATTGGACAGCTGCTTCGTCCTCCTGTAGGACTCCCTAACAATGAGCACCCACGAAGCCAACAGGGCTAAACTCAGGACCTTCGGGTTTCACGGTGAGGGTATTATACCTCAGCTATTGGGTCAGAATCTCATGGTCCACATTTGTGCAATTTTTTCAATTATTGTTATGGCGCAGCCATTATCCAATGCCACCGGTGATTATTTGTCGTCACGTTCGACTTGTTTTCTCCCACAAGTCATGGCTTATCATTCGAACTTTGGGAAATCCTATCTTAAGACATATCACTAATGAATTTTTTCAAATTTATTGATTTCAAATTGGCGCTCATCACTAATTGGTATCAGTTGAAGAACGATTGATAATACTGAGACGAAACAGTTGTCTAGTGCTCCCAGTTTATCAGTGGTTCTCCAAATGATGTCAGTTCGTGATGAATACCAAGTCTAAATCAGTTGAGAATAATCAAACCTTGAGAGTAACCACATGAGAAGTATTTAGTGACAGACTAGACAGATGACAGTGTTCTGTGAAGAACTACCAGCTTTCTATATTTCCAGTCAAAATAATGTGTATTGTGATTCTGAAGGGGGATGTTGTGACTATGGTGGGAAATATTTCCTTTCGCCTGCGTAAATTAAGTATTAGTAATGTGAACCAGTGATCATAATGATCGATGAAATAAGACCGTTTAACTGCTTGTGAGTTGACTGAAGCCAAACAAACAAGGACTATATACGGTAGCAAGAATTCACAAGTGCTGTATCATATCAACTAGTTAAATCAGTGACCAAAGGATGCGACAAGCAAAGAAGACAAACCGAATATCATTTACAAAATCAACTGCAATTACTGTAGTCAACATTACATTGGACAAAGTGGCCGCCCTCTTAGCCTTCGTCTACATGGACACCAATTGGCTATTAAACGTCACACATGACATTTCATCATTCATTTCAATGCATGTGGATAATTATGGACATGAATTCAATTTTAACAATGTAGAAATTTTGAACAGAGGAAACACAAAGAATATCAGGGAATTCCTAGAGGTTTGGCATTCAGGTGAGTCAGCAATCAACAGATGTATAGACGTAGACCCAATCTATCAACCAATAATAAAGATGGAAAACGACAGAAAGGTCAGAGGTGAAGCAGAGGGATAGCCAACAGTAAAATCTATACAGTCAATGACACAACAATCAAAAGAAAACAACCAGTCATAGACCGCCTCGTCAAGGCAAGCTACTAAATGACTCACATAGGGATATTTACAGCTCACTTCATACTGAAGTTAGTGCTGATGATGTCGTGTAGAAAGACGATGAAAGCTTCATGATTAAACAATCTAGCTCACAGAACACCATACAAACAAAACCATCCACCTGAGCTATGAATATTCTCCACTAGTTAAAGCTGATGTTTATGGCACAACACCTCAGGAAATACTGATTTTATTTGAGGATGCAATTAATGGTAATTAGCCTTAGATGTATAACAGAATGTTTCCAACATTTATCAATTCTTTTCACAGGTAAATGCAACTTACTTATCCTAAAAGACCATAGTTTTAAATATTCAGAACTGCAGCAGGCTGAAATGGCTAACAAATCAACAGGGTACTGCTATTGTTTAAGAAATTTCATGGAGATCTATAAGCTAGATTCTTTCAATCAGTTGAATCATGTCTGAATACATTGGATATAACAGAATGACTACTCAATAATTGTGGTCTAAAGATTTCTAATAGTCAACAAAGCCAATGTCAGGCGATGAAACAAGTAATGTATTGATTATATGTTGGCTTTTTGTCAAATTCTTAGATATATAAACACTTTCTTATCTAATGTCAGCTGTAATCCCTAACAGATTATTTTAGTCGTCAACACTTAAAACAACACTCTTTCCTAATAATTCATAATTCAGTATCAATGCAAGTCTACCAAACCACTGCTATCTCAAACAGTCAAACTGATAATCAGTATGATTCTCCCTCCCCCCTTCTCTATTTCTAGTAGATTTGGAGTGAGATAAGAAGTCATGACTTGACAGCTAGTGTGAGTACGACTGAGCTATAAATCATATTTTAGTCGAGCAAATACTTGATGAATGGAGGGGAAGTGAAAATCTGATCAGCAGTTGATTCTTGTGTCTCAGTAAGCACAGCCCTGGGCCTGAAACTCGATGATTGCTGATTAGAAACGCGCCCCTGTTCACATTTTTATTTCACCTTTAATCATCACGTAGTATCAATTCATAATTTTTATTTTTACAATCAGTTCTTTTCTTCATTCACTACTAATATCTATATGGAGTTACGACTTGCAAAGGATTTACTTTAAAATAAAACATCGTTCAGTTATGAGTAAATTGAAAAAATCTGTTTACAATTCCTTCCGAAATGATAGAAAATATTTGTGACTCAGGAAGATGATTCTGATAGAGTTGTGTTCTCTAATTATTACTATTATTATTTTCCCCTAGGGTTCCTAGTGAAACAGTAGCACGTCCCCATTCCACTCTCTTCTCTCTCCAATCTTTTCAACCTGGCTCCACAACTCCCCACAAGCTTTCATTTCCTCCTTGCACGATCTCCTCCATGTCACCGTCGACACCGACGCCTAACTCATCGTTTCCCCTTCGGGTTCCACTCTACGGCCTGGCCTGGCACTTGATGTCATCAAACCGCCTTCTCGGTATATATCCAATCCATCTCAACTTTCTTCTGCTGCATATTGTTTTGGCAATCGGTTCTTGGTTGGTTCGTTGCTAGCCACAGTTCCCTTTCGGTTATTTTTATTATTCTGGTCGTCTGATCTTCAGCATCGAGTGAGCGTAGGTGACAGCTGTTGATGAATGTATCAAGTTTGTTGGAAGGGATTGCTTTTCGTAATACATGAAGTCTTTTAACCATCATATAGAAGCACTAATTTGACTGTCGTTAGTGTTAAAAACCCGGATCTTGTTCACGCCGTATACTGAGCGCAGTAGATCTCCACATTGATTTCAGATTAATGAAGGCCTGTCCTGCTTTTCCAACCCTGGCATTGACGTCCTCATCAGTGTCGCCTGTAGTTGGAATGATGCCGCCTAGGTAGGTGGAAGACACAACTTTGTTTAGAATCCTCCCACTGATGGCGATTGGTGCTTGTTGCTGTTGTTGTTGGGTATCTTCATCACCTCTGCCTTCTCTACGCTCACCTGAAAGAAGTCCCGTCTTCGCTGTCTCTTCTATCAATCAGTTGGTTTTGTCTGTAGATCTTCGAGTATGTGCGACATTATGTGTTCTCTAAACTAGATAGTTAATTCATTAAGCTTTCATTGTCATTTAAGACAAGATCATCAGAACAAACTTCAGAAAGAAATGACCGATGAAGTTTTCTCAATAACTGACTTAGTAGCTTAACCTGATGGTCTTTGTCAATGAATGGTTGTTTCTGACGAAATCTTGTCATTGCCTCCATCTTCATTTCCACTGGTTGTCCTGATGACATAGGCTTTCACCTTCTTGTTATTTCTTATTGGTTGATAGATTGAGTCAATATGAATATGCCTCTTGATCGCTGACTGACCTGAATACCAGGATTCTTGAAATTCTCTGATATCCTTTGTGTTTCTTCTGTCCAGGATTTTGACATTTCCCCAGTCAAATTCATGTCCACAGTTGTCCATATGCAGTGCGTATTCAGTCAGCAATTAACAGACAAACTGACTATGACCCATTCTATCAAGCAATATGAAACAACAAGAAGGTGAAAGTCTATGTCATCAGTACAACCAGTAGAAATGAATATCGAGACAATGACAAAATTTCGTCAGAAACAACCAGTCACTAACATTGGCCATCAGGCCAAGTTACTAAGTCAGTCATTAAGAAAACCCCATATGTCACTTCTTTCTGAAGTTCTGATGATTTTGTCTTGAATGACAATGAAAGCTTCATGAATTAACCATTCAGTTTAGAGAACACAACTCCATTAAGATCATCCTCCTGATTTACAAATACTCTCCATCATCTCAAAGCAGAATATCCTTGATTATAATCTCATAAACAAGACTATTACTTAACATTCCTTTATTTGAAAGGATTCAACTAATACTTTATTTAAAAACAGTAGGCAATAGAATGACAACAAATAAACCATAAACTCACCTCGTTCTAGACGACGTAGATCAAGAGCTTGAGCCTTTGGTTTGCGAAAAGCTGAAGAAAGTTCATCACTACATTTCACTTTCTTCAACTGTGCTAGTTTTCTAAATGGATTATCTAGTGAAAGAAAATATGCAAATACTCAATTAAATTAAATGTCATTCTACTGAATGAACTCTGAGAAATCTTCATATGTAATGTTGTGGAAAGGGATTAGTTAAGATGCTGAATGACATGAACTTTATTTTTTATAGACTTAGGGATTTTATTTCTGAGCAAAGTTAACTATTAGTTTTGACAACTCAGTAGCTGATAGAATGCAAATGCATGACTAAGTAGTTACATCTGTTTGCTTCTTTCATTTTAAAACTTCAAAATGTTTAGGTAAAATATGGTCCAGAAAGACAGCTTAGAATATGTTGTAACACCGAAATCATCCACTTATGATAAGAATCTTCAATGTTCCATAACTTTCCATAAAATATGCCCCTTAGGATAACAAACGATTTTAGGAATACAAACCTTTTGTGTTTTCAAAATGTTAGGTATTTTAATTTCGTACTTGTTTTTCCTACCTTTGACTTCTGATTCGTACTGGTTAACATTCATCTCTTTTAATTGCAATTTGTTGTTGATACTACTATCTGAGACTATCTGTGGTTTAGCAGACTGATTTTAATGACTGAGGATGATGATTAAAGATGAAATGAAGACTTTGTTCTCATCAAGATTCGGACTAGTGGCGTCTGGGTTACTAGCTAGTTGCTATACTAGTTGAGCTATAAGATCCTGCTGCTGAGAAGTTTTGATTGTGTAGGTTTTGTGATGACAATGAACGGACACATACATATCATGGATTCAAATGGCAATCGGACAAAATCCTTGGTTATTAAATTGAAATGAAGACCTGGTTGGCTGATGATTTCATAGTTGGTACAGCACCGGGCCGGTGATCTGGAAGTTTCCCAAGCTTTCATTTCACCTTCAACCATCATCCTATATTAGTTATTACAGCTGAGGTTGTTGAGTTTTCGTCACAAGGTAACCATTATTACTAAACTAAGCTTCCAGTAACTTTATACCCTTTAAACATATTTCAAAATGTTCTTTCTTATTGACTGTTTTCATTGGTTGTTTACACCTTAACTTGCTCATAACTAACTTAAAGTCAATCCGTGTTTATATCCTCATCAACCTGCTGGAGACCAGTGAAAAAATGAATTATACCTCAGTCCATAAAGGCATTGTTCACTGCATCATTCGAGAATGTAACATCTAATAGACGTTATATGACTATCTGCTAATTGATACATGGTGACCAGTGCATTTCAACATTGTAATAATCTTGGTTGTACTGCGTTGTTTGAGCTGAGTAGTTTAATCTTGGAGATCTCATTGTCTTTTTAGGAAAAATCATGAAGACTGACTTCAATCTACTGATGGGAACTATCAGTATTTGTCCACGAGTGATTTAAAAGCTTATTCTGATGAAATGGTGTGTGATTAATAGTTTCCTTTGAATGTTCAGATCTTGGAAGAAACACGAGGAATATCAGAAAATTTCTAGAAGTTGGGCGCTCAAGTCAGTCATCAATCAGTAGATACTTAGACATAGGCGCAATCTATCAACACGTTAGAAAAGTGATAAATAACTACAAGGTCAGAGATTAAACAGAGAAAAAGCCAACAGCAAAACCTATGCAGCAGTGACACAGCAATCTAAGGAAACTACCAATCACATAACACACTTCGTCAGTGTAAGCTACTCAATCACTTGTGGAGAAATATTGACAGCTCGATTCATAAGATTGAAATTGATGCTGATAATGTTATCTAAAAGGGCAGTAAAGGCTTTACGCCCAAATTACTCGACTTAGAGAAAACAATACAATAAAGATCATCCACCTGGGCTAGGTCCTCAACATAACTTATTGGTGAGCTTATGTGGTGTATCTACATCCATTTTATACCCTAGTTCAATGATATGTTTCACGATTAAGGAGCTTGGACGTTTGTTTTCAGCATCGTTCACCTCAGGCGATTATATTTACTTCTAAAGTCACCTTGGAATATATTCTTTGTCTCTTATTTTCAATGACCGATGAATTCTTCCTGTTTGTATCTACTAATATGTACATTCATATTGTTCCCAAGGACTTCAGTGGTTTCATAAACTTTGGATTTCCAATTATCCAAATTTGACCATTAAGCTATTCTTATCACTAGTGTATAGTAGCCTGATGAATACATTTTTCTTTGGGGTAGAGTAGACCGTGTTTCCCAATGTCCTTCCCACTTTATATCAACTCATACACTTCGATGGGTAGTTGTTCTCGATTAATGTTATCGTTGTTCTGACCTCTTGTAAACCAAGTGACTCCTGAAATTGAGTGAAATATGATGAGTTAATTTTCGTGATACGGATACATCTATCAGAGGCAGTTTAATAGTATAGTACAGTAGATTTCATTCGCCACCGAATACGTCATGAAACATGTTACCAAGATAGCGACTCAAGTACACTATTCTAACTGTTCAGTTATACTGTCAAATGAAAACCCCACCCAGAGATAACTCCTGTAAATGAGTCTTACACTGGAAATGTTACAACGTTACAATGACTTGAGACGTTTCTTTTCAGAAAAATATTTGTAATACGCTACTTGTTCAGCCAACAACGCTAAAATGAATAGTGATTTATTAACATTGTTTTGGAGATAGAATAAATTTAGAAATTGTGGGTAGTGACTAGCAGTGGAATCCAGGATACGCGTTTCGTCTTATTAGGGACTCATCAACTAGATGTTAATGCAGTGATTTTACGTATATTTAAGTTTCAAAAGAGTTGAGACTAGAAATATGGAATTCATATATCAGGCATACATTACCAAAGGTCATTTAATGCATTATTACATGTCACACGTGGACAAGCAGCAGATTGGGGTATATCTCCGCGTTTATATTCTCTAACACTTGATTTTCTAATAAAAATTGGACCTAAAACAAACCCTCGTACAACTCAACGAATACCTAGTGAAGTCAGAAATTACGCTTCAGTAATCTCACGTAAAGGAATTCAACAATAACAGTGAACACAGATATTGTTCATTTTAAAGGATTAAAGCAAATAAAAATGCACCATAGTGTCACGTCCCTTTGCTCAGTGGCTACATTACAAAACTGAGTCACCAGACTTTGAACAATGCTAAGCACCAAAGAATGAACAACTAGCTACATTAATTACCTACTGGTGACCATTCATTCAACTTATTATATACTGATTTTCAGATGAACTTCAGATATAAGTGAATGTCATCTTTCTCAACTAAAAAATTTAGTACCTAAAGATTATCGAATAGAAAAGTTATACACATTTGATTGTCAATAAAATTTAAATCAACAAGAATACCAATTTCAATAGGACGTTTTCACTAAATAAGAGTTGACCGATGAAAACAAATGTGAATTCATATCAAGAGGAGAAAATGACAACATACTTTCAATCATTGACATAAAAACAAACGTTGTAGTGATATTGAAAAATGAACATAAATTATAGTACGTGAGCCAAATAGAGTTTCTTAATTTGCTTTGTAATTTCTTTGCTTACTTAATCTACAAAGTATTATAGACTAGGAGTTGTCTCTTACGTAAAAGCCTTCAACGGATTTGTTGGTAAATTTTCTCAAATTTTTCTTGGTTTATTGAAGTACTGTGTGGGATGACAAAAGTAGTTTTGCAAACAGTTCTTTATTCTCATTCATTTCACCGAGTGCCTCTCGATCCATGATAAAGAGTTCTCTTCCTGTGTTGTCCGCTCACAGTTTGGCATTCATGTCGCCTCAACCACTAGAATTTCGATGTCACCAACTGAGGTGGGGTTTTGTCCAGTACGGATTGCAGTTGTTTGTTGAATTCCTCCTTCTTCTCTTCATCTGCACTATCTGTAGGTGCATAGCATGGCGTAGCATTGTCTGATTGTGTCTTTCCTTCATTCTTTCTGACTTGAATCTTGCTGTCATTATCCTAATCGTGGAGGAGATTGGTTCCCACTGCATGAGAAACAACCTTTTATGCTCTTCAAGGGAACACCGTGATAGCCACTCCGTGAGTGGGCTCGTGGTTATCGTCTGGATGACAGTATCAGAGTCAATTATTGACTTCTCTCCAGTTGACAGTTTGGAGAGTCCACTTTCGTTCCATCTACAGATTCTTCGCAGATTCCTATAAATTCCATGCCTTCTCATCTCTTTCGCAATTTGGGCAGCCTTGGTAAGTTCATACGTGGTGCGGACATTCCATGTAGCTATCCTTACTTTCGCTTTCACGGAGAGAAGATACATCGGCCGACAGGCTTCCTGAAGGCTTCCACCAATTGGCGTCATTTCGTTTCTCCGATTCTTATGAAGAATAAGTTTATTGTTATGTTTTATATTTTCTTTGTGCTTTGAAGTTTGTTTGGCGACCTGATTGGTTTTCCGGGGTAGGGTTGCTAGCCCAATGCCCAACATTCTCTGTTTATCCGCGCTTAGGACCGGCTATTAACTAGTATTCTAGTTTCCCATGCGAGGTTGACATACAATCATGGTGTATCATAATTCAAAAGAACTACTTTTGTCATAGCACACGCACTGCAATAAACGAAGTATTATGAGGATTGAGGGTCAAGAAAGATCTACTAGCTGATTAAACGTGTGGAGCTGATATCCTTTACCTAGTGAAAATTAGAGGAGTAATCCAGGATGCGTGTTTTGTACAAATTCAGACTAGCCAGTTAGATGTACCTTCATAACAGTGAGCGATTCTGTTTCCACTGAGACTTGAATACGGTATTCATTGCTTTAAGTAGCAGAACGTTAACCCCTAACCCTACAAAGTCGTGCCACAAGTGTCAGTTTCTGTGGAATGACTTATGATTACAAGTTTTACTCATTCAATGACATTTTTACTGTATACAAAAACCGTTTTGTCATATCAAAGCCAAGTTAAAATAACTGAATAAACCACCTACCTGGTTCAACATGACGTAGATCTGGTCTAAAATCTGCGTGCGGTTCAATAATTAAGACTGTTTCTGCAGCTGCTTCACCCATATTGTTTCTTGCAACCGCTCTTATATTCAACTGACCAGGATTGCTAACACGATGAAATTCTAAATTACTAATACCACCATCTTGAAAAATTCTCCAACTTCCACCACCTCCTGACTAAAATTAAAAATCAAAAGAAATTCACGTAATAAGTATGTCCGTCATGAATATATATATGGGGTCAACCAGTCAGAAGAGAAGTGAATGCCAACTGAAGACCTTGATGAGTAGTCCAGCTACATGGCAAATAGACAAAAGCGGGAAACAGTGAACGTTTGGACTATGATCCAGTGGCTGAATGGCTAACCCAGTTGCCGTGAAACCTGAGCATTCCGGGTTCGATCTCCTTCAAGTTCTTGGGTGCTTATTGCCGAAGTGTACCATGACAGCACAAAAACGCTGGCCAATACTTACACGTTTTCAATGGCTTCCCAATAATGTCATTCCATGATGAACACTACCTTGAAATATATATATATATATATATATATATATATATATATATATATATATATATATAAGTCAAGAACACATTCCTGTAAAGATGTCTGTCTTCGTTGTCAACTACCTGCTGGTCGTCATCACAGACATTGGAGAACTATATGTACATATTTCCTAGTATCCTCTTCATTCAGCCCTGTAAAATGTTTCACTTGTCTAGAAGAAGAGCATGTTTGAAATTATCGAATTATTTAGCGTATCATAACAATAAAATAAATATTATGAAGCCATATAACTTTGTAAATCCAGTATTCTCAAGATATTTATCGTAGCTGAGCATTTTTCATTATAATCTCAAAATTTATGACACTTTAGTAAGATTGTACAACTTACTGAGGCTATAAGTTCACCATTAATATACCAAAATATTTTAGGCTTCGGATTTCCACCTGCTTTAACGATAAACTTGGCTGGAGAGCCTTCAGTGACAGTGACAGCGACAGGTAAAATATCAAATGATGGTGCACTTGGTGGTTCTTCATCGTCACGTTTAACCATATCATATCTGTAAAAAAGTATAAGTATTCATAGAGTGAAAACTCTAATTTGAACATTTTGTAAATGAGGTACACGGAGGTACTTAGAATCTCAATATGAATCTCTACAGTAATACATAGGGCTATTCCGACAACATTGTGGTATACTTAGTCTAAAGGTGACAAGCATCATCTTGATAATGAATTTAGGTTACGCCGAACATACAAGCTCAAACAGAGATATGAGGAGTAAGTTTGTTGAAGGTCACCCTAGTTAAAAATGAGATAACCAATTACATTTCTCCACTTTATGAAAACTTGCCTTTCTTCCGGAAGGGGAGAAGCTTAGTCAATCATTTCAATTATTGCCAGGGTGGCCTTCAGTGTTGACCGACAAAGTAAGTTATCTCAGAAGTTACTAGGGTGATCCTAGAGTCACTCATTAGAGCTTTTTCCAAGGCCACCCTAGCAACAAACGAAATAACCAATTAGTTTTCTTCATTTTGGCTAGAAAGATTTTCATAAAATAAAGAAGCGTAATGGGCTATTTCAGTTGTGAGTACCTTTAAAGACCACCCTAACAATAACTGAAATAACTAAGCCCACATCTGCATTTCATGAAAATTTGCCTTTACAGCCCAAATGAAGACATCTGACTGGTCATTTCGACTGTTACTAGGTTGCCTTTATAGTCACCCTTACTTTGCAGAATGAAAACTTCTGTAGATATCCAGCTCAGTGTCGTCGTATTCCACTTATCTATTGTAAAAACAAGCGACTTCAAAGGCCACCCTAGCAACTGATAAGATAACCAATTAGGCTTCAATATTTTGTGGGAAACGACCTGTCTACCAAATAGACTTAACACCGTACAAATTCACATCAGTCTGACTTGTGAAAAAGAGAATAATAATCAACTGCCATTCCTAGATATACTCCTGAATCGACGAGAAGATGGTTCACTAAGAGTGTCAGTTTACAGAAACCCTACATGGACAGGACAATACTTGAATTCTCACAGTTTTGTCCAGTCCAATACAAGCGAGGTCTAAAATGCCTTTTTAATAGGATCTATCCTATCAGTACACCATATACGATGGATGAAGCCATCAAATTACTGAGCAAAGCATTTATGGAAATGGATATCAAAGGAAGTTTGTAAACCGTTGTAGAGGTCAAGTAGCACCAAGGCCAACTCTGTACACAGTTCCTAAGAAAAGCGTCCAGTATCACTCTACCATACAGAGAGGAGTTGAATAGTGTCATTTTGAGACGTAGAATGACATCAGCCATTGAGAAAACATATTAGGCGGTGAATCTCATCATTGTAGAAAAAATGAAACGCACTCAAACCAAAAACCTAAACATCGCATCAATGATTACGTCACATCCCATCGAGTTTGCCAATTTACATGTGTGTGGTCACACATGTATAGGTAGGAGTAGCAGGACCAAATGGAATCCCACCAGAAGCACTGAAAACAGACGCAAGGACAACAGCGGACATGCTCACACCACTATTGCAGAAGGTCTGGAAGGAAGGAAAGGTACCTGCAAATTGGAAGAAAGAAATGCTATCTTGTCAAACTCTCGAAGAAAGGAGACCGAATTCTTTGAAAGAACTGGCGCAAAATCATCCTGCTGTCCACCCCAAGCAAAATATTCAGCCGCGTCATCCCGGAGAGACTTAAAAATTCCCTCCATCCAAAACTACGACCGCAATAGGCTGGCTGGCTGGTTGGCTTCAGGAAGAACAAATCGTGTGCGGATAAAATTGCAGCGCTACGCTACACACCATCATAGAATAGAGTATAGAATGGCAGTCAACTCTCTACCTCAACTTCATCAACTTTGAAAAGGCCTTCGATCTAGGCGTCGACCGAGAAGTAATTTGGCAGGCGACTGCTTCAACATTGCGAGGCACCACAAACCTTTAACAACCTCATTCAACAACAATATGAAGTCGCCATATACCAAGTAATTCACAATGTGAAGCTCAGTGATGCCTTTGAATTGAAGACAGGAGTAAAACAAGGCTGTCTACCATCACCCATGATCTTCCTGATTGCGGTCGACTGAATCATGCAACAAACAGTGAGGAGTGAGAAGAGGGGGATACGCCGGCTGGACGGGTGAAAATATCCTAGAAAATTTGGATTTCGCCGATGACTTGTGTCTGATGTCGCACAAACACGAAGATCTACTGGTGAAAACTAACAAGTTGTCAGAAGAGGAAGCGAAAATTAGACTTCAAGTGAACGTAGAGAAGATAGAGGTAGAGGTGATGAAGATACTTAACCAATAACAGCATCAACAATATCATCAATCAATCAATCACAATCAACAGGAGCAACATAAAGGAAGTAGTCTCTCACTTATCTAGGCAGCATCGTTTCAACTGATGGCGGTGGCGGCACAGATGAGGACGTCAAAACCAGCCAGGCTCGGAAAGACATTAAACAGACGTTCATTAACCTGATACCAGTATGGAGATTTTCTGCACTCAGCGTGAAGCTTGAACAAGATCCGGATTTGCAACAATAATGTCTGTCAAGTCAGTGCTTCTGGGTGATGGTTCAGAGAGTTGGGGCGTTACGAAAGGGATTTCCAACAAACTACAGATATTCATTACCAACTGCCTGCGCTGGCTCGTTACTGAAGATTGGATGGCCAGAAGAATAAGAATAAGCAACAAGGAACTCTGGCTGTCTGGCAACGAACCAACCAAGAAGCTATCACCCAACAAATATGCAGCAAAAGAAAGTGGCGATGGATTGGGTGTGCACTGAGAAGACGATTCGGGGACATCATGCACCAGGTCAGGCGGTCGAGTGGAACCCAGATGTGAAACGACGAGTTAGGCATCCGACGGTGATATGGAGTAGATCGTGTGAGGAAGAAATGAAAGCCTGTGGGCTGTCATGGATCCAGATTCAAAAGACATCAGAGAACAGAGGGGAATGGAGACGTGCTACTGAAGCCCTATATTCCACTAGGAACCTGAGGGACAAATGAATAATAATAATGGTTGAGTCATGCAGTTGAGGGTAAGAGAACGTATGCTTAAATGGCTTCAAAAACAAATGGAGTGTGAAACCGTGATAAACGCTGGTGGGAGACGACCCTCTTCATCTATAGCTAAACATATCATAGAAACAGGTTACAAAGTTAATGTTCAAACAGCTTTCAAAGTTTAGTATAGAAACAATCAGGGACGTATTCTGATACTTGCAGAAGCCATAGCCATATACAAACTTAAACCATCTTCATTTGTACAAAAACAGTCTGTTCTTACACTACACCTACCGCTTGGTAAACTTTGTTTTCTTACCAAGATTAGGATCAATTATGTCACCACCTGTTTGTTCTCATCTTTCTTAATTTTAATCCCCTATTGTGTTAATTGTTGTATTTGTCCCCCCTCCACCCCCAGACCTCAGTTTAATATATATTGACTTGATAAGTAAATGTGTGAGGTATCAGATTGCTCGAATTGTGTATTGCGCAAATACATCAGCCACATTGTTCAGATAAACTTCATCTTGTAATTACACTATCTCAATTCATGAAAGGGACTAACTGTTTCAAACTACCTTTCTGGCTAGAATACCAAAACTGGATTGGTTATTACAGTTGTTGCTAGGGTGGCCTTTAAAGTCGCCCGTAAAATGGCTTTTACGGAATACAATAGAAGAATAACCTAATTAAACAATTTACAGAGTCATAACATTAAATTTTATTCATCACCTAGTCAACTGGCAAGAAACGTAGAGACACAGTCACAGTTAAGGCATAAAAGATGACATAGGAGTGAAGCATGAAGACAACATTCCATTGAGATGCTTCATATGATAAACATTTTTCAATCTAAGGTCAGGAGTTTATACATTCACAAACCACAGACCAGTAAACATGCATGCCATACTGATCAGATGTATTCGCTGTATCACTAACAGATTTGTAAAAGCAAGGAATAGACTCCCGTCTAGTTGATTACAGGAAGGTATTCCGTGATTGTAACTATTCTGTCCAATGTCTTTGCAGATATGACTTCACATGGAATTAGATTATTACGTAACTTGATGTTTTTAATAATTTTTCAGACGGTTAATGTGAAAAAATGTAAAAAGGAGTTATGCGAAACGAATTAATCTTAAGCACGAAAATGTGGGCATGTTTAAGGTAAAAATTCAGTTATCTCCCATGTTTACATTGTTCTTTCGTCCAGGTATGTAGTTCATTTACGGACAGTATAAACTACCTAATGAAAACTGTAAAACAGATGATTAGATCGTCAGTGGACAATCATTAAAAACAAGAAATGTTTAACTAGTATTGATACACTGTTTGTATCACACTAAGTACTTATCTACCATTGTATGATTTCATTGAAGTGGTCTATGAGAAATTTGTCACCCTCTGAAGACTGATACCATGATACTATCATTTTTCTCTGAATTCTTCCATATTTTCATTGCCTTTTTGTATTATTTGATGCTTTCCTACCTATCCCACTAGATATTTGCAAAACGTTGCAACTAAATTACGTTACATTTTATGAAATGTTCAACCTATTGTATTTGTTTTACAATTTGATCGACGATTTCCTTCCCCAGTTGGAAAGAAAAAATTGATTAGTATATAGGAGTAGTATTCATCATGGACTGATATCAGTTGGGGAACCATTGAAAGTCTGGGAGCACTGGACAGCTGTTTCGTCCTAGTATGGGACTCCTCAGCAGTACGCACCCATGACCCGGCTAGGGGTCGAACTCAGGACCTTCAGGTCTCACGACGAACGCGTTAACCATTCAGCAACCGGGTCACAATTTCCAGCTTCTGTCAATTCACGACATAGCGTGACTGTCACCCAAAGTCTTCAGTTAGCATCCACTTCACTTCCGACTGGTTGACCCCATAGGTCACGGCTTCTCATTAGAACTTCCTAACATCCATCTGGAAGCAAGTCACTAATGAGTACTATAGATTAATATATGTATGTCTAGTAGTGAATCATCTAATCTAGGTAGTTACTCGGGACACTTAATCAACCAGTCAGTCAATATCGACAAAGGACCTGACGATCCAAGTTACCATACCTCACATCAGTGCATCAAGTTAAGAGACACCGAACTGAAAACAGAAGTAGTCAAAAGGTGTAGAACGTTGTGAAACGAGACAGAGAAAGGATTACAAAAGTAACACAGTTCAGTATGACGATCAGGAAGAAGACAGTGTGTGGGTCCTTATTGTACCATAGAGATTGATTCCAAGGGATACAACCTACATTCTTCAAACATAAATTTTATTTGGTACACAAGCCTCAATTAGTAAGATTACGTTTCCCTACACAGTGTCTTACGTCATCTTGAAATAGTGACCTAAAATAGAATGAGCAATTTGCAAATGATTTACAGATTACATGGTCCACTATGACATTCCTCACAGTTGAGTAGTTTTTCAACTGCTAAACTTTGGAATCAACAGGGTTTCCGCTAAGAACCAATCAGCTAAGATCACAAAGTATGATCTCTGACACAAAATTGTCATGAAATAGCGAAAGATACTACTACTGAACAACTTGAGTAGTTAAAAACCACTCAGGCTGATCTTAGGTCAAGGCGACTTAAACACCACACTATCATTTCGCTCGTTTGTGGTATACCCTCATCAGCTCACAGAGCTGAATTAGCTCAGATCACGTAAATCTAGATAGCTGGTATACCTAAAATAAAATGAGCAGTTTGCATATGGTTTACTGATCTGACTGATGAAATACTACAGATCAGGTCGAGTGGTTTCTAGCTACTCAAATTGTTCAGTAGTAGTATCTTAGAATAGTGATCTATTTCAAATTCAAGTATTGCCAAATGATCTCAGTCTGACTGAAATATAATTGTCCATTAGCAGAACAGAAATGATACATAAAATAATATATAAATTCCATAGGGAACCAACCAAGAACCTATCACGCAACAAATATGCAGGAGGAAGTGGAGATTGATTGGGCATGCACTGAGAAGGCTGACTGTGGACATCACGCATGAGGCCCTCGAGTGGAATCCCCATGGGAAGCGACGAGTTGGACGTCCGAGGGTGACATGGAGGAGGTTGTGTGAGGAGGAAATGAGAGCTTGTGGGCTGCCGTGGGACCAGGTTCAAAAGATCTCAGAGAAGAGAGTTCACTGGAGACGTGCTACTGAAGCCCTATGTTCCACTAGGAACCCAAGGGACTAATAATAATAATAAATAATAGGGAAAATTTACTTCATTAGCGAGTATATGAAATCAAGTTATATTTTTAAAAGAAACTGGTATTCACGCTACATATATCATTACTTTTTTAACTAAGAACATATAACCAACTTACCCTGCCATTGTATCACTCTCCCAAGCATCCAAACTTTGCAAGTAACTAATTGACTCCTTTGACAATACTGAACTTGTGACTATATGCTCTTCAGGTTCACAACTATTTTATATAAAATAAAAGTCAATAAGAAAAACGCTACATCACCTAGTTACGACAACTTGCATAAACATTGCTTTCAATTTTCTATTTATGTCTTTTAAATGTCTTGCATAATCTCGTAAGTTTTTAAAATATTTTCAAACTGTAGTTTTTCACGTCCACAACAATACAAAGGAAAAAAAACGTTGGTACGTTAATAGGAAATGGATTCATAAACACATGAAAATGTAGCGCATTGCTATTTCTTAAGGTACCTATGACGAATTGGAGATTTTTTTCACTAGTTGGATAAACTACAGCAACTGAAATTTCGCTATTTTCTGTTTACTTCCAAGTTCAGACCAGAAGCTAATGTGCAATTACTTATATCCTTTAAAAAGTATTGTATGTAGGATAAGAATGTTGAAATATAAAATGCTGAGAATCGCGCACTATATCACATAAATTGTCTGGAATAAAATAACTATAATCATAACAATAATAGGATGCTCAACGACAAAAGGAACTGAGCACAACCTATAAAACACTTCACTGGACAAAGAAGTGAAGAGTGCACGGAAAGACAAAAGACACTTCTACGAAACACTGGCAAGTGAAGCAGAACAGGCTGCAAGTAAGAGAGACCTGACTACATTGTATCGAATAACCAGGTTACTCGCTGTCTGGGAAGAGATCAACACAGACGAAACCAATAAAAGATGCTGACGGAAATTTAATTATGAAAGAAGAGAAACAAAGGAAACAATGGGCTGACCGACCACTTCAAGAAGCTCTTCAATCGACCACCACCACCACCTACACTTCGTCCAGAAATACCACCTACAGCCCAGCCTCTGAGCAACTACACGTGAACATAAATCCTCCAACAAAAATGGAAGTTCTCAACGCCATAAAACTACTGAAATGCGGGAAAGCAGCAGGACAAGATGGAATCCCGCCAGAAGCACTGAGAATAGACACAGAGACAACAGCGGACATGCTCACACCACTATTGCAGAAGGTGTAGAAGGAAGAGAAGGTACCTGCCAGTTGATTGGAAGAAGGGATACCTTGTCAAACTGCCGAAGAAGGGATACCTCAGTGTTTGCAGGAACTGGCGCGGAATCACTTTCCTGTCCACCCAGAGCAAGCATAATATTAGACCGCATCATCCTGGAGAGGCTTAACGATACACTGGATTCAAAACTACGACCGGAACAGGAAGGCAGGCTTCAGGAAGTACAAATCATGTGCAGACCGAATTCCAACACTTCGCATCATCATAGGACAGGGCATAGAATGGCAATCAGCTCTCTACCTCAACTTTATCGACTTTGAGAAGGCCTTTGACCGAGAAGTAATTTGGAAACTGCTTCATTACTACGGAGTACCGCGAACCTTCATCAGCCTCATTCAACAAATATATGAAGACGCCACATATCAGCCAAGTAATTCACAATGGGAAGCTCAGTGATGCAAGGTTGCCTACTAACCCCCATGATATTCCTGATTGTGGTCGACTGGACTGGATCATGCAGCAAACAGTGGGGAGCGAGAAGTGGGGGATACGGGACTGCGGAAATAACCTAGAAGACTTGGATTTCGCCGATGACTTGTGCCTGATGTCAAATAAACTTGAAGATCTACAGGCGAAAACTAACAAGTTGATAGAAGAGGCAGGGCAGCGAAGACAGGACTTCAAGTGAATTTAGAGATGACAGGGGTGATGAAGATACCTCACCACCACCAACAACAAGCTCCAATCACCATCAACGTGAGAAACTTAAAGGAAGTAACCTCCTTCACCTATCTAGGAAGCACTGTTTCAACTACAGGCGGCACAGGCACAGACGAGGATTTCAAAGTCAGATTCGGGAAAGCAAGACAGGCGTTCATTAGCCTGAAACCAGTGTGGAGATCTTCTGCACTACACTCAGAATAAAGCGTGAACAACATACGGATTTTCAACACCAACCCAGTCAAGTCAGTGCTTCTGTGTGATGGTTCAGAGACTTGGTACGTTACGAAAGGGATTTCCAATAAACTACAGACATTCATCAACAACTGCTTACGCTGCCTCGTTACTGAAGATCAGATGGATTGCCAGAATAATGAGAATAAGCAACAAGGAGCTCTGACTGTCGACGAACCAACCAACAACCTATCACCCAACAAATATGCAGGAAGAAGTGGAGATGGATTGGAGTGGGCATGCACTGAGAAGGCCGACTGAGGACATCACGCGTCAGGCCAGTCACTCGAGTAGAATCCCCATGGGAAGCGACGAGTTGGACGTCCGAGGGTGACATGGAGGAGGTCGTGCGAGGAAGAAATGAGAGGTTGTGGGCTGTCGTGGAACCAGGTTCAAAAGATCTCAGAGAACAGAGGTCACTGGAGACGTGCTACTGAAGCCCTATGATCCACTAGGAACCCAAGGGACTAATAATAAAATAAATAACAATAATAGTTATTGTTTTCACTGGTCTTAAACATTTCCACATCTCCGGTATAAGTGTCACTTTTTTATTATTAAAAAAGGTTGAGTACTGATTCGAAGAAAGAAGATATGCAACTCGTCCATTATCCATCTTCGTCCCTCTCTTGTTTGAATTAAACCTAATGACTTTCGGAAAGCTGAGACATATGTTCGCGGCACACAAATTATAACATACACTGAAACTATTTGAGCTACAAAAGGGATGTATTTATTCTACCGTTACTTTTCATCAAAATGGAATGATAAATAAGTGTATGGATCCCTTGAAAAGTTGTAAGAATGAATACAATAATTGACTAAATTGTACCTAAACCTATTTCATATCTTCCTTTCCTTGGCTAGTTGTAGTAATTTCTCCTTGCTGAGATTGTGTAATCTTTTGTTTGACTTACAAATCAGTTAGTCATTCAAGCAGTTGGCTATTTAATTAAACAAAGAGATGCTTATTTGTCTCACCTGTGACAATAATTCGATCAATAATGAGCACTGTCCAACTGGAGTAATGTTTACACCGTGATGCATCTACCACGTCTTTGAAAACAAGTTAAATAGATTATGGAAAAACATATATCTAAGTCAGATTGGTTATCTACTGGTGATGACTTTGTGTGCATAATCTAGTCCTATGAAATGTTATTCGTGGGTTAAATAGTTCTGTTGTAAAGCCTGTGAATTCGACTTTATATGACGCTGGTTCAAAATACAAGAAAAATACCAGGTGCATTACATTTCCAGGTACACCTTATAGATGAGTGTTCACAGGCATGAAACTCAAGCTCAAGGATAATGGCCAGCTGGGCCCTAACATCTAACATCACAAACTTTAAACCACAACCGTTCAATGGTTGAGTGAAAGTATTCGCATATGAGACAAAGTACATGATATTCAGTCTTACACTTATTTCACTAACCAATAACAACAACTCGTTACGCTTTACAGGAAACTGTTGCATCGGATAAGATGGTACGCTCAGTGTCTCATAACTCACTGAAAATTGTAAACAGATTCTAAAACACATAAATCATATTGTTTCCAACAAAGAAATATTTACTGTATTCATGTTTTATGCTTTCCGGTGATATAATTTCATTTTTTAGACATTACTCAAAGCAACTAACATATAGATTTAAACATACTTCAAAAATTTCAGTTAGTAGAGTTTTGATGGCATTATGCCCCTTCATAATGTGAGTCTAACTGTACATCATACAATATTGACTCATATGAATGTGACTCAGCAATAAAAGTACTTTCCTAAACTTTATGTAAGTAATCTGAATTTGCTTTATCAACTTTAGCAATACAAGCTTAATAGACTTACTGTAATTCAACGACATTACTTTGAACTTGTCCTATAGCATTACGCGCTACACAGAAATATGCTCCATTATCTTCTGGATAACAATAATGAATGTCAAGCATAGCAAAACCACGATCCAAAACAGCATTGAAGCGGCAGCCTGGAAAACATGAATTTCAGATCTTAGTTCTATGACTCAAAATGTAAAAGTGGATTGTTATATGAGCGCTGGTAACTTATTATGACTCCATTCAGTGAAGTTACACTACTCTCTTAGTCAGTCAGAAAAAGTAGGACTTAACTTTACCATGGAAAGCTTGTCACACCTCATATCAGTAAGTCGAAGTAGTTGGCACCAAGCTGAATCATAGAGAGATAAAGTAATTTAAGCTGTAGAAAGCCGTGAAGAGAGAAAAAGAAGAAATAAAAGAACAACCACACTCTGAAAGTTGACTAAGATGAAGATGGTGTGTCTATATGTCTGCTTCACGATGATCTGTTCTCAATCGTTTCGTTTGCCAACCCTACTAATCAATTTTAGTTGCCGCATGAAACAAAAAATAAAAATCTACAGTTCCCTACATGGTTCAGACCGATAGTTAAAGACCTCATTGATTGATACCATGTTTAAGTCTAGCTATCTTAATACAATTTACAGCTTGAACTTGCTTCAGCTAACATTGAGACATGGGAAAGACGGTAACTAGTCTAATGCGTAACAGGTGTTGCAGCAACCTGAGTTGATGAACGATTACAACCTCGTCAAGTAGCCTGTCTCTTTTACCTAGAACTGTATGCATAACCTTTAGGTCAGAATATGACCTAAGATACGAAACCAACTATGGTCCAGCACCTGAAGTCTTCTCATAAGCTCCACTTTACTGTCTGTTTCGCAGTCATTTAGTGGAACAACACACCAAAATACAGTATAATCAGCCATTATAAGATAGTTAGACACTATGCTAGTGCGATTAACGGCGTAATTGGATGAAGGCAAAGCAAACCTTTCGCATCTGTGTCGAGATTTTGTCGGTTACTGACCCACCAGAACTGAAGCCAGTGCTGAGGTATCTGAAATGGTGAATGCGGCCAATAGCTTTATTCCCGACTGTTAGGTATAGTCATAATATAGACTACTCCTGGAGTGGCAGTTTTTAGTTGGTTGATGAGAAACGTGTCCCAAACATAATCAGACTTGCATTCAAGGTGTCCAGTAGATTCTGTACCTTGTCAGCACATTCCCCTAACATGACTATGATTTGCCTAATCCAGGTTTTCTAATGATTCTCATGTGACAAAATCAATTCTTATAAAGTTAGTCGACCAGAGGAATTTTTACAAACATCTACGACAAAACTAAATAAGGATGGAGGGAGTGTTTACCCTTGATAGACACCACTCATGTACACAACTCACCTGATAACTTACCATAGACTCTGACATGCACATTGGTGTTCGAATACACAACCCTCAATAGGGTAATTTACTTACCGTGAGAAATACTCCCATTAAGCTTCTCATTTGATGCAGTCAAATGCTGCCTTCAGTCCAAAGAATACAGATATTGTCGAGTGTCGGTAAGTGTACCTGTGTTCCAGAACCTGGTAGTGAAGATCTGACCGAAACGTTGATGTTCATGTTGAAAACCTACTTAGGTTTCCAGTACTTACTGTTCATGTGTTTCACATAGATTTATAATGATAATGGAGCCTAGCGTTTTAGATATCATATTCTTCAAACTGGTTCACCTGTGGTTATCACCAATAATCCTTGACCACTGTCCTCAAATTCCTCTAGTGTAAGCTTAACTGATCATGTCATCGCTTCTCGTTTCAATTTACTTACTGTATTCTGAACATCTGCAAGAGTTGAGGAGAATGTCTCGAGGTTCCATTCGAAATGATACTAAACTGAGCATGCATCAATCAGTTCAGAATAAGCTGACAATGTCTTATTTCTTTCTGAAAGCCTGTTACGGTACTAAACGCTGTTTTTACAGCAGATCAGAGAGGACACCACACTCGTTCAGGTTGTTTCGTTAAACTGTTGGGACAGCTACTTAAGTAGTTCCTTATTAAAACCAGCCTTGGTATTCTCATCCTCTAGATGAACTCACAATGGCTTTGCACTTGAAACTGTTCTACATCAATAGAGGTGCGGATACACGCATACTTGAACAAACTCATGACCACTGCTCTAATGCGTGCGCTAGAAGTCGTGATCCTCAACTCATCCACCCGGAGATAAGTGGTTGTAATATAATTCATTTTGCATCCACCATTGAGTTCAGTGAATGCCATGTTAGACAACATCTTTCTTTACTTCCGAGTTTTGTTTTGGCAAGAACTAGGTGGTAGTCTAACCACAGTAGTAGTAGGCGATCGTCGTTATCCGTTCTTTCGGCTAGGATTCCAAATGTGCAGCCAAAGTGTCTTTCTGCTTGGCGTTGCATATCTTTGCATGCATTAAAATTACTTTTTACGGTAATCACATTCAAACTTTCTGCTTTCACTAGGAGGCTAGACAATTTTCGGCATAACTCTTTTTCCATACCACTTAGTGGGGGTGCAGGCAGAGATTAACAAGGGAGAATGGTGTGCTTTAGTGTTGTTTTAAGTCTTCACTTCACTATTCAGTCGAACTGTCAAGTTGGATGCATTCGAGCAGTGCAATTTCTGCCTTAGGTCTTAACGCTACTCTAGCAGTTGCAAGACAGCAAAAGTTAGCAGATTCACCATTTCTGACAGATTGTGCTACTAAAAAATGTGTATGAATTGGCAAAAGTCGTTTGTAATGTCGAATAGTGTTTGATATAAAATACTGAATCACAAGCAGAACAATACAGTCGTCACAACTGGCATATTATAGTCCAACAAATCTAAAGTTAACCAAGGCAACGTTATATATGTTCTTTTGAATAATGAGGTTACAAGATTACAATGGATAAGGTTTGAAACTCAGGTATCATCGTTATCATTTGCGTCGTTGGACTGTTACATGAATACCTAATTGGATGTCACTATATTCCGCTTAGATGGTATATTTTAAAGAGTTACCTTGAACACATTTTGGATACTGATGACTGAATCCAAGCTATCCCATAGTATAGAAGCAAATGACATTTATCTTCATGAAAGCAAACATCGGACGTAATTGGAAGTTAATGCAATTTAATTTGGGGGTTTGTGGGGATATTTTAAGTTGGTATTCATCGTAGACTGACATGATAAATACCAACTTGAAATATCTCTAAATCCCCACAAACCCCCAAATTCAATTGAACTACTGCTCACTCGTGAATAGCTTCGAGAGGTGCTTCCTGAAGTTCCAGTGAGAAGTCGTGACCAGTGGGGCAAACCTGGTGAGAGTTAGGACAAATAATCAACGATGACATTGGGTGACGGTAGCGCTATGTCGTGGTAACGTGCTGGCCACAGAACCTGAAGGTAGCGGGTTCGATCACTGGTAGGGTCGTGGTTGCGCACTGCTGAGGAGTCCCATACTGAAACGAAACAGCTGTCTAGTCCCTCCAGGTCTCCATTGACCCTCCAACCAATGTCAGTCTACGATGAACACCAACTTGTAATACAACTTAGTTACAGGTAGTTCGGTTTCGCAACACATAGGACGTGTATAGAATACAAATGGAACGTATATCACCTTTACACTTATGTAACCAAAACGAACCAACCAAGAAACCTATCGCCCAACAGATATGCAGAAAGAAGTGGTGTGCACTGAGAAGACCATTAGCAGACATCACGCACCAGGCCAGGCGGTCGAGTGGAACCCAGATGGGAAACGGCGAGTTGGGCGTTCGAGGTGAGGGTGACATGGAGGAGATGGTGAGAGGAAGAAAATGAGAGCTTATGGTCAGTCGTGGAGCCAGGTTCAAAAGATTGCAGAGAACAGAGTGAAATGGTCCCATATTTTACTAGGACCCCAGGGGACAAATAATAACATAGTACTAATAATCAAAACATTGTTGGGTATTTTACAACAAATGACCAACACATGATGACTTTCACTTAGATTTCCAATTTAGTTTGAGTAGGATGCTTTAGAGTAAGCCTGACAGAATAATTTATTTGGTTGTGGCTAGCAAAAGAATCCAGGACACGCGTTTCCTCTTATTTGGGATTCGTCATCCAGATATATCCGCACCCCAGTGAGTGGTTTTGTTCCCACTGCGATACGAACCATGTGCCCATCTCCTCAAATACGAAGGCGTTATCTACTAAGCCACTGAAGCGTGGTAGCCACCTCTTGTGCAACGCATAGGCATAAAATAATGAAAAAAATATATGGAATAAGTCTGACTTATCTGGCACATATTGGTCAACTGGATTGAATCGAATGCCTCAGTAACTGAATATATATTCACAAAGCCTCGTACCCAATCGGTTCATTTTTCAGTCAAGACTATTTGGCCTATGTAAAGATTTTCTGGGGAAACCCTAGCGTTTTCTGTATATCTTACATGTGGTTGTACAGTTTGTGGCTACAAGTGACAGAGTTTCAATGAAACAGTGATCTCATCTACCGGATTCATGTTATTTTAGTCTCAACCTACATTTCAAAATCCATTAGTATATCTTCCAGCAAAGAGGATCTATGATTTTTTGTTGTCTAATGTCAGGCCGAATTTGATACACCTTTTGGTAAATGCTATCTGCGGATTTCAGGAATGAAATTCCATTTTATTCAAGAAATCCACATACATGTCAAATTTATTCAAGAGCACAGCCACCCTTCGCCATCTTTTGTCTGTACTACTACAAGAAAAGTTGTCAACACCGCCGACAGAAGTTGGAAGTATATCAAACAAAACTTCAGAGAATGTCGCATTTCTTAATCTTAAAAAATTGAAATCATTCACTAAATCGGAAATAATGAGCAGTGATAATTCTTCTATTGCTGCCTAAATGTCACCAAGGTCTTCAAAGAATTAATACATCTCGAAATCAGCATAGCCGATACGATCTAAATCATGCTGGAAGTTACGCACATATTGCTTCACAACAGAAATGCTTCAAAAGTTGCAACCACTTAGGATGCGTTCAGATATGGTTTCTTCAGACTAAAATGTAGTACCAAGTTACTCAATAACAGTTCCTAAGTCATAAAAACAAAGATTTTACATGAGATCCCGCTGGAATATTCCTATCTCATGAAACCATATACATATTATAAAGTCCAAATTTTATCTTTCCATTCATTGGGAACATGCAATGTCAAATGTGGTTGTAAACACGTCCATTGGTAGAATGTATTTTTCAGAGAATGATGTATCATCCAGAGACACAGCTATTTTAGTGTTAAAAGTTGTTAGAAAATTGTCATGAAGCCTTGGACTTAGGTTTCGTGCCCTATGATATTCACCACCAGGGTGAATATTCAATTATGAAGGAACCAGTGTTCTTTCAACGATTTGAACCCTCATTACTCAGTGTTGAAGGTTGGAAATTTCACAAAAATCTATCCAAACAAGGATTGATCCCCGTATGGCTGGACTATGTACGTAAATTGGACACCAATGGGTAACTTCAACATTCAGTTACACAGATTCAAATTACCAAACCAAAGCCAGATTCATCAAGTCGCATAAATACCATACTGATGAGTGACAAGAACAAAGCTGTGAAGCACCAATGACGATATCTAGCTTGACATTGGGACTTTAGTTAACTAAAATCCTAGCTCATAGAACAACTCACTCCGAGTATCTACTCCCCGAGTCACAAATACTTTTCATGGCAGGATGTATAATTTTCTGTTTTCCCTGCTCATTGTTCTTTGTAGTTTAGTTCTGTTCCATTTTACTATGTGACCCATTGCAAAACTATAAACTGTTTACTACCATGGCATAATTAATGACGTTATCTATTACCAACTCCATACTACTTGCGTTAACAGCAACATTTGAGTTTATTTGTTCATTTCTTGTCACACTTATTTAGTCATCCTATCTATAAATACTTTTTTTTAGTCTTTTGAAGATCTCGCGTTTTCCTTGACTTTTTTATTTATAAAATGTTATTAGTCAACGTCTTCACTAATTTGATGAAAGAAGACAGGTGTGTATTGCTTGCATAGAGGTGAATGGCAGGAAGCCATGGCCAACCAGGGTTTTGTGCTTATTGGTACTCATTAGCAAGGAGTATCTACAATCTCAAGAGAAATAATGTCCCCTGGGAGATCCTTGAGTTTGATGACAGCATTAAATCAAGATGCAGTCTGTAAAATAGCCTGTTAATGATCTATGTTTAATATGAATTCACAGTTCCAAAAACCTTCAAGCAAAACTCATTATCCACCTACGGCTTCATTATCTAAGCCCATAGACTCATCTTCTGATCGGGTTTCAACTTCAGTATGGCCGAAGAGAACTAAATCTAGTTGTTATGTGGAGCAGCAGTTTAAGGTTGAGCATATAAGTGGACTTCTAAAGTCAACGAGTATAATGTAATACATAAATTCTAAATTTGACAACGGTAATAATCCTCTATTAACTTACCCATGCTTACTGGTTTACCATCTTTATACCACTCAACTGTTAATGAAGGATCATTGGATGGTTCTACAGTTGTTTCAAAATGTGCAGGAGCTGATTCACGAAGGCCAACTTGTGGTGCAAGTGGTTTTAAAAAATTTGGTGGATTGTTGGTCGTACATCGTCATGATAGCGAGGTGATCGATTTATTCCATTCTGAACTAAATTATCTTCCATCATAGCTAAGTTAGCAATCATTGACTCCTCTGGTAGTTGAGTTTCAGTGACAACACCTTCTTCTGGTATAACACTAAATGATTAATATTAGGGCAATTATCATGAGATAATTACTACTTATTTTTAAAAATATTAAAGGTATATGATATTTAAAGCGAACATATAAAAGATGGGTGTATAAAAAGAGTAAATAAGCCCAAATGAGTGTTAAATGACACTTCAGTTGTATAGCGCCGAATGCGTACAGAATCTTCCAATAACATAAGTGGGTCACAAGAAGCCACTTAGTTGTAACTAAAAGGAGAAGCACGTTTAGCTGATTTGCAAAATGAACCATATGCCGAAAAGAACCTAGACAATAGGAATTCGTAGGATCCAAGATTTTCTATAAGTTTATTCATCTTGCACACGTTTTAGAACGTTGAAATTACGCCGTGATTAAGGTGCAAATTATTTCAATTTAAACCGTACAGATAAATTGCTTTATTTTAGAAGTAATCTAACAGTGAATCGACAGTCATCACATCAGAACTCATCATACTACTGAGCATAAGCCTTTAGTATACACAGCCTTTCAAACAGCATTAGTTATTTCAGTAAATGTTTTCAGTCCAGGATTTAAACTTCCTGGTATTTTGTTTGTACATCTAGCTTAAGTTTGTCTGGACATCACTTTCGGTTGGCTTTCGTGTGGACATCATCTTTGGTGCACAACTCTTGTAGTACATTGATCAGAATATCAAATACTATGAATCTAAGCTAATTACCTAGTAAATGATAGTCAAATAATGCAAATCCACTCATTGGTAAAATGATTTTAAATACGCATGTTTTGTGTTACTGATATTGTATTTAATTAAGTTATTTGTTTCGCTAGAAAATGAGTATTTGCCAGCGAGTCTTCCAAACCCCTGTTATTAATTAAATTTCGTGGTGTGTGGTGATTTGTCGACTTAAGGTCGGCATTCATTATGAACTGACACCAGTTGGAAAAACATTGAAAATCTGGGATCACTGGACAGTAGTTTTGTCCAATTGTCGGATTCCTTAGAAGTTCACACTCATGACCCTCACGCTCCGAGACCAGTACGTTAGCACTGAGCTACTACGTCACCTTCAGCCAATGTCACTGTTGAGTATTTATTGTCAATTTTTACTTAATTAGCCCACCAGTCACGATGTCTCATCGGAACTTTCAGAAATTTCAGTTCGTGGTATATCATTAAAGCCCATTGTAGAGTAATTGAATAGTAAAGTGATTTTCGCAGATCCTAGATTCAAACCCTAGAGAGTTCATGGTTGTACATTGTTGAGTCCCACATTAACAGAAAATAGCTGTTCAGTGTTTTTAAGTTTTCAGTAGTACTCCAGCTGATGTCAGTCAGTGAAAAATATCAACAATTGATCTTAGTTCAGTTGAATATATTTTGAACAACAATTTGATTTTCATGAAAAGTCATCACTGAGAAACTCTGTTATTCAGTGCAGTCAGTCATTCAGTATTTCTTCTTTTAACAGTCGGCTTATTTTTTGTATCTCATTATTTATAAGGGTTAAATAGAACGGTTGGAGAATGGTTAATACAGTATATTATTTCTTATTTATCTGCTACTCGGAGTGTTTTGTTTTTTGACTTATAAGTCATTTTTTCGTGTCACTTCTTCCGTCTGTAAGTGGAACTGAGATATCCTCGATCTGACAATTGTTATTTTTACTCAGAACAGATGCACTTGTCTTCGTTAAGACATTACAAGTATCTGAAATAAATTAATGTTTCATTTCCAGTGAGATCAATTCTTTTTAAACTATCCATTTGATGGAATTTCCTCTTGTCAACAATTGCAGTATCTACGTAAATCTACACAGTATATCCTACAAGCCTTAGTATTTGTAAATCGAACTCATCTTCTGCTTGTTCCTGTTAGTAACCAAGATGAGTATGTCAGTTCTGTATGAGGCTTCACTGAAAATAGGCTTAAAATGAATTCTCAATTTTCCTCCATTGGAATCACAACTTGAAAAGCAATTAAACTAGCAGGACACCTAAGTCGAACAATACTGGAGTAGAAATTACTGTCCAATTTGAAAGAGTGACTTTAAAAGCCACCCTAACAATAACTTAAATAACCAATCAGACTTTTCTAGTTTATGAAAATCTCTCTTTTCAGTCAAAATGAAGAAACCTGATTGGTTATTTTGATCATTGCTAAAGTGGCTCTTGAAGTCACCTATCTGAAAACATAGGACAGTAAAACAGGGTGACTTTAAAGGCAATTCTAGCAACTCATGCGACAGCCAATTAAATTTCTTTATTTTGCTGGAAAAGTACTTTTCCACGTGATTGGTCACTTCTGCAGTTGTTAGAGTGGACTTTAAAGTCAGTCGTTAAATATAGAATCACTTTATAGGCCATGCTAACAACTGCTGAGACAATCAATCACTTTCTTATATTTTATTAAAAAAAACTACCTTCATAACGAAAATACAGAAACCTGATTGACTTTAAAGGCTTCCGTAACAACAGCTGAGATAACTAAACAGAGTTCTGTATTTTACGAAAAACTACCTTTCTAGACGGAATGTCGAAACCTAAATGGCTATTTCCGCAGTTGCTAGGGTGGCCTTTAAATTCTCCCTTAAAGTCGATCAGATTTGGACAACCTTAAAATCCGCACTAGCAACAACTGAAGTAACCAATTACACTTCTGCATTTTATGAAAACCTATATTTCCAGACGAAATAGGGGTGATTTTAAAGGCCAGTTTGTTCCTCGAAAACTAGTCTTCTCAACCAAAATACCGCAAATTGATTGGTTATTTAGTAGCTTTTACGTTGGTCTTTAAAGTCGCCTCAAAAATGGAGGAACCTAATTGGTTATTTTGATCGTTGCTAGGGTGGCCTTTAAAGTCGCCTCCATAACCTTTGATCAACTAATCAGCTGCGTCGTATCCGTGATCATCTGACCAATAGTCTCAGTTCCAGAGATTAAAGATGGGATGGTCAGCCAATCTCACTTGAAATCGGTCTGTTCATCAGCGAGTACTATTTTCAGCAGCTTTATCAGGCTCGACCCTCACTGTTCGGATTTCACACATTTTCATATTTGTCTGGTAGATACGTTATTCATTCAGTCTGCTCAAGACAGACATTGCTATCTCGAGTATCTTTAAAAGCCACCCTAGCAACTGATGAGACAACCAATTACAGTCCTTTATTTTAAGGTAAAGTACTGTGTCCTAAGAAAAATACCGAAACCTTATTGGTCTACTTAACAGTTGCTAGGGTGGCTTTAAAGTAATTCAACACTTCCAGCATCTACCCAGTCGTAAAAATGAATAAGGTGAAATGATACCAATGAGAAAAATAAGTACGACTCACTTAACGTGACAACTGCTTGATTGATCTTGACCTTGACTATTGGTTGCTACACAAGAATAATCACCACTGTCATCTTCATTGGTGTATAGAAAATCAAGCACAGCATAGCCTCGATCAAAAGTTGTCGTGAAACGAGAAGCTGAACATGTAAAAAATGCAAAGAAGTGATGGGTGACTATTCGAATCAATACTAAATACCTTGAGTAAGAAAAGTAAATGTATATCTGGATTCAGAGTTATGTAGGGTCTATTTGCCTTAAGGGTGGTATTCATCACGGAATGACATCAGTTGGGAAACCAATGGAAAACCGGGAGGACTGGACGGCTTTTTCGTCGTACTATAGGACTTCTCAGTAGTGCATACATATATGACCCGACCAGGGATGAAATTTAGATCATCCTTTCTAATCAGCGACTCAATGGAAACGTGCTCGTCAAGAAAACATAGGGCCCTGGTTTTAATCCATCACAAGGTCATTTGTGTGCACTGATGAAGAGCCCCGCATTGGGACGAATCAGATGTCCAGCGCTACCGGTTTTCGAATGGTCCTCCAAATGATGTCACTCCGTAATGGTTACCACCTTGCAAAATGCATTTCTTGCTGTTGGTTCTCAAAAATGTTCAACCTCTAATACCAATTGATACCAAATAAAAGTGAGGTATCTGCATTCAGTTAGTAGCCTAACAAACAATGGTTTGGTGCTTCAGATGAAGATCAACAGTTTCAATTCTAATCGAGTAAGCAAATACTCACTGGGATTTAACTAGTTCCATCTGCTTGATGATTACGAAATAGAGAAAACTCACATTCTGGATTCCACTACTGACCACTTTGAGAATTAAATAAGTTTACTAATAGTAAACTAATAGTAAAATTCTAATGGGCGACATGAATGCCAAACTGGGAGGGGACAACACAGGAAGAGAACTAACCATGGGTCGAGAGGCGCTAGGTGAAATGAATGAGAATGGAGAATTGTTTGCAGAATTCTGTGCATTCAACGATTTGGTGATTGGAGGCAGTGTGTTCAGGCACAAAGATATCCACAAAGCGACATGGACTTCACCAGATGGACACACTAAAAATCAAATCGACTTTATCTCAATCTCAAGAAAATGGAGACGCAGTCTACTTAACACAAGGTCAAGAAGAGGAGCAGATGTAGCTTCAGACCACTATTTAGTGCAAGGAACCTACCTTCCAAATCAAGTTGAAAGCCTTCAATTGAAGGAAGCTGGTGATAGACCTCAATTCAAGTACAACAATCGGAAACTGAAGGATGAAACTACAAAGGAGATCTTCAAAGCAGCCATCAAGACAAAATGGGAGACATCGAGCAACATCCCTGAAGAAACCTGTGTGGAAGAACACTGGAAGTCTTTGAAAGCTATGTGAAAAAAAACCTGCACAACAGTATTAGGAAGGAAGAAGAAAGAAGACAAGGAATGGATCTCGACGGATACATGGAAGCTGATAGAGGAGAGGAGGATGGTGAAGCAGAAGACAAACCAGTGCAAGGATGCTCAACGACAAGAGGAACTGAGCACAATGTATAAAACACTGGATAAAGAAGTGAAGAAGAGTGCACGCAAAGACAAACGACACTTCTACGACACACTGGCAAGTGAAGCAGAACAGGCTGCAGGTAAGAGAGACCTGACGACATTGTATCAAATAACCAGGTTGCTATCAGGGAAGAGACCAACACAGATGAAACCAATAAAAGATGAAGAAGGAAATTTAATTACAAAAGAAGAGAAACAGAGGAAACGATGGGCCGACCACTTCAAGAAGCTCTTGAATCGACCACCACCTGCACTTCGTCCAGAAATACCACCTGCAGCCGCTGAATTACAAGTGAACATAAATCCCCCAACGAAAATGGAAGTCCTGAACGCCATAAAGCTACTGAAATGCGGGAAAGCAGCAGGACCAGATGGAATACCGCCAGAAGCACTGAGAACAGATGCAGAGACAACAGCGGACATGCTCACACCACTATTGCAGAAGGTGTGGAGGGAAGAGAAGGTACCTGACGATTGGAAGAAGGGTTACCTTGTCAAACTGCCGAAGAAGGGAGACCTCAGTGCTTGCAAGAACTGGCGCGGAATCACTCTCCTATCCACCCCAAGTAAAATATTAAGCCGCATCATCCTGGAGAGGCTTAAAGACGCACTGGATTCAAAACCGGAACAGGCAGGCTTCAGGAAGTACAAATCATGTGCAGACCAAATTGCAACGCTTCGTATCATCATAGAACAGAGCGTAGAATGGCAATCAGCTCTATACCTCAACTTCATCGACTTTGAGAAGGCCTTTGACAGCGTCGACCGAGAAGTAATTTGGAAACTGCTTCAATACTACGGAGTACCGCAAACCTTTATCCGCCTCATTCAACAACTATATGAAGATGCTACATGCCAAGTAATCCACAATGGGAAGCTCAGTGATGATTTTGAAGTGAAGACAGGAGTGAAACAAGGTTGCCTACTATCCCCCATGATATTCCTTATTGTGGTGGACTGGATCATGCAGCAAACAGTAGGCAGCGAGAAGAGGGGGATACACTGGACGACGGAAAAGAACCTAGAAGACTTGGATTTCGCCGATGACTTACGCCTAATGTCACATAAACTTGAAGATCTGCAGGCAAAAACTAACAAGTTGACAGAAGAGGCAGCGAAGACGGGACTTCAGGTGAATATAGAGAAGAAAGAAGTGATGAAGATACCGCACCACCACCATCAACAACAACAACAAACTCCAATCACCGTCAACGGGAGAAACTTGAAGGAAGTAACCTCCTTCACTTATCTAGGAAGCACTGTTTCAACTACAGGCGGGACGGACGAGGACGTCAAAGTCAGAATCGGAAAAGCAAGACAGGCGTTCATTAGCCTGAAACCAGTGTGGAGATCTTCTGCACCGCACTCAGCATGTGGAACAAGATACGGATTTTCAACACCAACGTCAAGTCAGTGCTCTTGTATGGCTCAGAGACTTGGCGCGTCACGAAAGGCATTTCCAATAAACTACAGACATTCATCAACAACTGCTTACGCTCGCTGCTGAAGATCAGATGGCCAGAAAAAATAAGCAACAAGGAACTCTGGGAAGGAACCAACCAAGAACCTATCACGCAACAAATATGCAGGAAGAAGTGGAGATGGATTGGCCATGCACTGAGAAGGCCGACTGAGGACATCACGCGTCAGGCCAGGCCCTCGAGTGGAATCCCCATGGGAAGCGACGAGTTGGACGTCCGAGGGTGACATGGAGGAGGTCATGCGAGGAGGAAATGAGAGGTTGTGGGCTGTCGTGGGACCAGGTTCAAAAGATCTCAGAGAACAGAGGTCACTGGAGGCGTGCTACTGAAGCCCTATGTTCCACTAGGAACCCAAGGGACTAATAATAATAAAATAATAACAATAGTAAACGTGTGGACATAAATATCGACTTCATAAAAGTTGAAATGTCATTTAACATATATATATATATATATATATATATATATATATATATATATATATATATATGTCATCGCAAAATATGACCTAATTTTTATTAGGTACTAGTCTATTACTGATAACTGCACTATAACTTTCAATTATACATAATCGGTAAACTTGTAAGGCCTATTCAGAGAAAACCCATATGGAACGGACAACTCACGAATTTTCCTAGTTGAGTGCCTCTATGCACCAAATGAAATCTAATTCACTCTATGTGCCACAGGACCAACACTTATCTGCAGTCCTGATACTTTGGAAGACGAACTTGACTTTTTCGAAAATGTTTTGACTGAGAACCGGTATCCTGAGCGTTTCATTGCTAAAACTATGAAACTGCAAGCAAATAATCATTCCACTTCTACAGCTTGTAAGAAGCCTCTTTTCATGAGCTTACAGTTCAAAGGAAACACATCAGCAGACATATTGAGAAAAACATTTTGTACTGCCAAACTCAGATTAACTTTCTTCACTTACGCAGTGCCTCAATTATGCGTAAAGGATAAGCTAACTCCCTTAGCCACCTCGATATTTGTTTATGAATTCACTTGCTCCTGTGGGCTAAAGTATATTGGCCGTACTTAGAGTTCGCTTTCTAAACGCATTCCCAAACATATACCAACCTGCTTCCACAATGGAGAAAGGAGGGAACTTCACAGGTCTGTTTTAGAACATTTGATCGACTATGACCACCCGATAAATGAACAAAGCAACTTCAATATCATCATTAAAGAGATAGTGGTAATCTCATGAAAGATATACGCCTAGAACTTCTTCAAACTGCAGAAGCCATGATAAGTAATATTTTGAAGCCTGAACTCGAAGTTCAAAAGAATTCTGTCTGGTCACTTGAGTTGTAATGAACATAATCTATAAGAACATTCTTATAAGAACATTACATTGCTCCACTATTATTATTCTGATTTCTCTTTACGTTCAGCATGTTGCATCATTTAACTTATGATTATTATTTGTCCTTTGGGTTCCTAGTGGAATATAGGGCCTCAGCAGCACGTCTCCATTTCACTCTCTTCTCTGAAATCTTTTCAACCTGGCTCCACAACTATCCACATGCTCCCATTTCTTCCTCACACCATCTCCTCCATACCACCCTCACCTCAGACGCCTAACTCGCCGTTTCCCATTTGGATCCCACTCGACGGCCTGGCCTGGTGCGTGATGTCCCCGAATGGTCTTCTCAGTGCATGCTCATTCCATCTCCACTTCCTTCTGCATATTTGTTGAGCGATAGGTTGTTGGTTGGTTGGTTGCCAGCCAGCCAGCCAGCCAGCCAGCCAGCCAGCCAGCCAGCCAGAGTTCCTTGTTGCTTGTTCTTATTATTCTGGTCATCTGAGCTTCAGTAACGAGCGTAGGCGGTTGTTGGTCAATGTATGTAGTTTGTTGGAAATGCTTTTCGTAACACCCCAAGTTTCTCAACCATCACATGGAAGCACTGACTTGACAGACATTATTGTTTAAAATCCGGATCTTGTTCATGCCTTATGCTGAGCGCAGTGAAGCAGATCTCCACACTGGTTTGAGGTTAATGAACGCCTGTCTTACTTTTCCGATCCTGGCTTTGATGTCCTCGTTTGTGCCGCCATCTGTAGTTGAAACGATGCTGCTAA